CAATATCATCTTCAGTCTCTAACTAAAACAATATCATCTTCAGTCTCTAACTAAAACAATATCATCTTCAGTCTCTAACTAAAACAATATCATCTTCAGTCTCTAACTAAAACAATATCATCTTCAGTCTCTAACTAAAACAATATCATCTTCAGTCTGTAACTAAAACAATATCATCTTCAGTCAGTAACTAAAACAAAATCATCTTCAGTCAGTAACAAAAACAATATCATCTTCAGTCTCTAACTAAAACAATATCATCTTCAGTCTCTAACTAAAACAATATCATCTTCAGTCTGTAACTAACACAATATCATCTTCAGTCTCTAACTAACACAATATCATCTTCAGTCTCTAACTAAAACAATATCATCTTCAGTCTGTAACTAAAACAATATCATCTTCAGTCTCTAACTAAAACAATATCATCTTCAGTCTCTAACTAAAACAATATCATCTTCAGTCTCTAACTAAAACAATATCATCTTCAGTCTCTAACTAAAACAATATCATCTTCAGTCAGTAACTAACACAATATCATCTTCAGTGTGTAACTAAAACAATATCATCTTCAGTCTCTAACTAAAACAATATCATCTTCAGTCAGTAACTAACACAATATCATCTTCAGTCTCTAACTAAAACAATATCATCTTCAGTCTGTAACTAAAACAATATCATCTTCAGTCTCTAACTAAAACAATATCATCTTCAGTCTGTAACTAAAACAATATCATCTTCAGTCTCTAACTAAAACAATATCATCTTCAGTCTCTAACTAAAACAATATCATCTTCAGTCTCTAACTAAAACAATATCATCTTCAGTCTCTAACTAAAACAATATCATCTTCAGTCTCTAACTAAAACAATATCATCTTCAGTCTCTAACTAAAACAATATCATCTTCAGTCAGTAACTAAAACAATATCATCTTCAGTCTCTAACTAAAACAATATCATCTTCAGTCAGTAACTAAAACAATATCATCTTCAGTCAGTAACTAAAACAATATCATCTTCAGTCTCTAACTAAAACAACATCATCTTCAGTCTCTAACTAAAACAATATCATCTTCAGTCAGTAACTAAAACAATATCATCTTCAGTCTCTAACTAAAACAATATCATCTTCAGTCTCTAACTAAAACAATATCATCTTCAGTCTCTAACTAAAACAATATCATCTTCAGTCTGTAACTAAAACAATATCATCTTCAGTCTCTAACTAAAACAATATCATCTTCAGTTTGTAACTAAAACAATATCATCTTCAGTCTCTAACTAAAACAATATCATCTTCAGTCTCTAACTAAAACAATATCATCTTCAGTCTCTAACTAAAACAATATCATCTTCAGTCTGTAACTAAAACAATATCATCTTCAGTCTCTAACTAAAACAATATCATCTTCAGTCTCTAACTAAAACAATATCATCTTCAGTCTGTAACTAAAACAATATCATCTTCAGTCTCTAACTAAAACAATATCATCTTCAGTTTGTAACTAAAACAATATCATCTTCAGTCTCTAACTAAAACAATATCATCTTCAGTCTGTAACTAACACAATATCATCTTCAGTCTCTAACTAAAACAATATCATCTTCAGTCAGTAACTAAAACAATATCATCTTCAGTCTCTAACTAAAACAATATCATCTTCAGTCTCTAACTAAAACAATATCATCTTCAGTCTCTAACTAAAACAATATCATCTTCAGTCTGTAACTAAAACAATATCATCTTCAGTCTCTAACTAAAACAATATCATCTTCAGTCTCTAACTAAAACAATATCATCTTCAGTCTGTAACTAAAACAATATCATCTTCAGTCTCTAACTAAAACAATATCATCTTCAGTTTGTAACTAAAACAATATCATCTTCAGTCTCTAACTAAAACAATATCATCTTCAGTCTGTAACTAACACAATATCATCTTCAGTCTCTAACTAAAACAATATCATCTTCAGTCTGTAACTAAAACAATATCATCTTCAGTCAGTACCTAAAACAATATCATCTTCAGTCTCTAACTAAAACAATATCATCTTCAGTCTCTAACTAAAACAATATCATCTTCAGTCTCTAACTAAAACAATATCATCTTCAGTCTCTAACTAAAACAATATCATCTTCAGTCAGTAACTAAAACAATATCATCTTCAGTCTCTAACTAAAACAATATCATCTTCAGTCTCTAACTAAAACAATATCATCTTCAGTCTCTAACTAAAACAATATCATCTTCAGTCAGTAACTAAAACAATATCATCTTCAGTCTCTAACTAAAACAATATCATCTTCAGTCTCTAACTAAAACAATATCATCTTCAGTCTCTAACTAAAACAATATCATCTTCAGTCTGTAACTAAAACAATATCATCTTCAGTCTGTAACTAAAACAATATCATCTTCAGTCAGTACCTAAAACAATATCATCTTCAGTCTCTAACTAAAACAATATCATCTTCAGTCTCTAACTAAAACAATATCATCTTCAGTCTCTAACTAAAACAATATCATCTTCAGTCTCTAACTAAAACAATATCATCTTCAGTCTCTAACTAAAACAATATCATCTTCAGTCTCTAACTAAAACAATATCATCTTCAGTCTCTAACTAAAACAATATCATCTTCAGTCTCTAACTAAAACAATATCATCTTCAGTCAGTAACTAACACAATATCATCTTCAGTGTGTAACTAAAACAATATCATCTTCAGTCTCTAACTAAAACAATATCATCTTCAGTCTCTAACTAAAACAATATCATCTTCAGTCTCTAACTAAAACAATATCATCTTCAGTCTCTAACTAAAACAATATCATCTTCAGTCTGTAACTAAAACAATATCATCTTCAGTCAGTAACTAAAACAATATCATCTTCAGTCTCTAACTAAAACAACATCATCTTCAGTCAGTAACTAAAACAATATCATCTTCAGTCTCTAACTAAAACAATATCATCTTCAGTCTCTAACTAAAACAATATCATCTTCAGTCAGTAACTAAAACAATATCATCTTCAGTCAGTAACTAAAACAATATCATCTTCAGTCAGTAACTAAAACAATATCATCTTCAGTCTGTAACTAAAACAATATCATCTTCAGTCTGTAACTAAAACAATATCATCTTCAGTCTCTAACTAAAACAATATCATCTTCAGTCAGTAACTAAAACAATATCATCTTCAGTCAGTAACTAAAACAATATCATCTTCAGTTAGTAACTAAAACAACATCATCTTCAGTCTCTAACTAAAACAATATCATCTTCAGTCTCTAACTAAAACAACATCATCTTCAGTCAGTAACTAACACAATATCATCTTCAGTCAGTAACTAAAACAATATCATCTTCAGTCTCTAACTAAAACAATATCATCTTCAGTCAGTAACTAAAACAATATCATCTTCAGTCAGTAACTAAAACAATATCATCTTCAGTCTCTAACTAAAACAATATCATCTTCAGTCTGTAACTAAAACAATATCATCTTCAGTCTCTAACTAAAACAATATCATCTTCAGTCTCTAACTAAAACAATATCATCTTCAGTCAGTAACTAAAACAATATCATCTTCAGTCAGTAACTAAAACAATATCATCTTCAGTCTCTAACTAAAACAATATCATCTTCAGTCTCTAACTAAAACAATATCATCTTCAGTCTCTAACTAAAACAATATCATCTTCAGTCAGTAACTAAAACAATATCATCTTCAGTCAGTAACTAAAACAATATCATCTTCAGTCAGTAACTAACACAATATCATCTTCAGTCTCTAACTAAAACAATATCATCTTCAGTCTGTAACTAAAACAATATCATCTTCAGTCTGTAACTAACACAATATCATCTTCAGTCTCTAACTAAAACAATATCATCTTCAGTCTCTAACTAAAACAATATCATCTTCAGTCTGTAACTAAAACAATATCATCTTCAGTCTCTAACTAAAACAATATCATCTTCAGTCTCTAACTAAAACAATATCATCTTCAGTCTCTAACTAAAACAATATCATCTTCAGTCTCTAACTAAAACAATATCATCTTCAGTCAGTAACTAAAACAATATCATCTTCAGTCAGTACCTAAAACAATATCATCTTCAGTCAGTAACTAAAACAATATCATCTTCAGTCAGTAACTAAAACAATATCATCTTCAGTCAGTAACTAAAACAATATCATCTTCAGTCTCTAACTAAAACAATATCATCTTCACAACAAAAACTTTAATAGCAAATGACCTTAATGTAAATGTCTTCATTAACATGTCATTTGATACTGTTTTTATCCTACATATTTCCCCCAATTCCCACATCACCTGTCAAAATGGTATCAAATCCACCTAAACCTAGGAATTGAAATAATAACTTCAATGTCAGCCAAGGATGTGCCAGAGAGGTTGCTTAACACAAAATACATGATACAGCAATATTCCAGTTATATGACCACGGCCCGTAAATATTCTAGTGTGGACAAGATACGATGACATGCATCAACTATGTCAGCGAGCCCAGTCCAGTAGATACTGTTAGTTGCCTCTCACGACAAGGATAGGTTGCCGCAGACCAATAATTAAAACAGTTACATTGACACCTGTGTATTTATTCACAGCCATATCGTACAAAGCAGAGCTGTCTGGATAAACAGGGTTCCATTGTACATGACAGACATAATGTGTTTCAATATATAGTAAACTCACGCTAATCTGGGCCTTACACGTTCCCATAAAATCGTCTGGAGTAATAACTAATTGCTACATTTTACTGTCTATTTTATGATACCTATATTTATGTCAGTATTTGTCCAATAGGCCAGGCAGGTTAACAGGGCCATGACCAACAGGTTTCCACTGTATCATCCCTGTAACCGTTTCCAGTGTAAATCCTACCATGTAAATTGAGAGAGCATATATCAAATGAGTTTATTTATTTATTTCCATTATACTGAAATAGTAGGTGAGTTACCATGGTTACCATATTGTGTCTGTTTCCAGGAAGTGTATGATCGACTCCGTCAAATCCTCTCGTGTCCTGTGCATTGGGTTGTCTAAAGCTGTGTTACACAAGGAATTCTGAAATGTAAACATTATCAGGTTTACATTGCACAAGTAAATGACAATCAAACAAATTTTGAATAATATATTTTTTAAATATCTTAATGTATATAAATATCATTTTACTTATTGCTTTTCTCATCTCATTTCAAAGAGGTAGTGGAAACTTCCTGAACAGTGTTCCCAGAGAACAGAAAAACAGCTCACCCAAACACACCCATGAGCCGGAACATGTTGGTACCAGAGCCTATGACCGAGATTCTGGGTCCCCTGTTTTACTTTATAATTCAGAGCATGAGTGAAAATGATTGTGTTAAGTTTACAACCTTCTCTTAACACCATAATTGTTGATAGTTAGCGGGAAAATCTTTCCTTTATAACTTTACAAAATCCACAAAATCTTAAAGATTTACTCCTCTCTTTTCAACAAGAAGGAGGTGGTAACCCACAAGGATATAAGAAGGACTAAGAAGATTATGACATTCCCATGGGGTTATACGAACAGATGACAGTCTGAATCACGCATACAGGTGGAACCCACCACCTTCTGTGGGATTCAAGCAATAAGTATTAGTCAGGATGACGTAAAATATGTATTTTTTAGAGTAAAAATATCATTTTATATTTATACACAAAAGCACCCACCAGCCGCCCCCTCTTCTACCTCATACATGTTTCGGCCATAGCTAAATGAATGAGAGAGTGACAAGTCTACCAGCTTGGTCACATGGTCAAAAGATTCCTCAGCAAACGTTTGACTTGGTTTTCCACCATTGAAGGTTTTTTCTTCCACCGCTGTGTGAGTCGATATCTGAGATCCTGATGATCCAGGAAGGGTCTAAGGAATCTTTGAGGGGGTGAAGTTGCAGTCAGCCTCTTTCTGTCAGCAGTTAGGTGGCTGAGTAGACCTAGTATTACTTGCCACTTGTTAACTGTAGATATTTCCTGAAGTCTGGGTGAATGGGGATGTACAGGTTAACATGTTGTAGATCGATGATTGCTAGATAGTCATGCTGTCAAATCATCTTCTGTAGCTGTAGTACGTGTAGCGTGAACCTTTCTTGCCCTTGAAGGTATTTCTTGTTGAACGCCTACATATTGTAGATTAGACAAACTACTTCTTTTAAGTTTTTATTGGGTACCAGGAAGATCAGTGAATAAAAGCCTGGAGTTAGGACATCTGGCTGTATTGTCTCTACACCTCCTTGATCAGAAGTCTGTTAACTTGGGTTGCAGTACCTCCGCGTATTGTAGTATTGAGGGAGAGCGGCTGATCCTCTAATACGGCTGAACGGTAACCCTTCTTGAGGGGTCATCAGCCTTCCACCTACTCACGTTTGGATCGGAAGAGACACTGAAGTTCAGCAACACTTGAAACCTTCGATCACCCTTGGTTGTGGGAATGGCTGAGTTGATTGCAGCAAGGTATGTGGCCAAAATAGATCCCTTGAGCTTCTGCGTAGAGGGAAGATGATGAAGATAGTCGGCGATCTGTTGTTGCGAAGAAAAGCGGGAGTGGAAATAACACGAGCGTGACAATAATTCTCAAAGGCCGTCCATTTGTGGTCATAAAGACGTTTGTTAGAAGAGCGACGATAGTCCATAATTGACTTCACTACCCGCTTAGAATTGCCTTTAGTGATAAGCAATCTTTGAAATGCGCCAATTGCATAGATAAGGCTGCAGCAGAAGGTTGTCTCAGAGCAGAAGACACTGGAATTGTCAGTCGTCAAATCTATCCAATGTGGGGAACCAATTGTGTATTAGCCAAAAGGGCGTGACCAAAGTCAGAAGCAGGTGATTGATGTCCTTCATCTCTGAATGACCCTGGGAAGAATGCTTGTCGGGGAAAAAGTGTAGATATTGAGGCCTTCCCAGGAGATCGCCAGGGCATCGTGATCCCAAGCCTGGGGGTCTGGGATGGGAGACACATGAAGGTCGACGGATAAAGAGGCCATTCTGTTGAAGATGGCCCGTCAGGATGGGACAAGGAGTCGGTTATCACGTTGGAGACCCCCAGAATGTGATGTTGAAGGAGTTGATCAGATGGAAGAAGTCGAGTGAGAGCGAAGACATCGACTTGGTGGATCTCATCCTGTTGATGTACCATTCCACTGTGATGTGGTCCGACTGTATCATGCGGCAAGGGGACCAGAGGAACTCCAACCAATGAAAGAACACCAGTATCACGTGGAGTTGATGGAGGTGACAGCCTTCACCAAGATATGCTCTCATGTAGTTAAAGATGAAGGTTGGTAGGTTCTTACTGCGATCAGCAGTAACAGCAGGAGATTTCTTCTTCGATCTATAAGAGCTCTTGTTTGGAGTGTTAGTCAAGTCTCTGCTGCCCTGGGAAGACTATAGTGTAGGCATGACTGCCTTTCTCTGTGACAAAGGAGGACCAACGTGGATCAACTCTTCAATAATATCAGATGGTAACTCTTCCTCTGAAGGTGTAGGCATTACCTCACACTTCTTTCTCTTCCTGCTCGTCTTCATTTGCACAACAAAGATGGTATTGTGCAAATTATAATTCTCCTGAAGGAGTGCAGAAACTTCACTTCTCCAGTTTTGAGGAATGCAGTTGGAGCAGATGGGGTGAGTACATTTTTTCATGACAGAAAAAAACAATCTTTAAGTCCATATTCCTTATAAAAAATTTAAGCCAAAACATAAAAATAATCATTATAATCATATGACGGATAGATGTTAGAAGAATGTAATCCAAGCAAATATTTTTTTACGAACAGACAAGATTTGGAATGGATGGCTTGGATTACAAACTGAGGAAAAAATTGTCCAACTTCTCAGATGGCGCAAAAATGAGAGTGACGAGTCTTCCGGCTTGTGTGTATGCGCGGGTCAGGGGTGCATTCGGGTGTTCTGTTCTCTGGGAACAATGTTCGGGAAGTTTCCACTACCTTTCGGAAATGAGATGAGATAAGCAATAGTATCTTTCAGGATGAGGTAAAATAAGATATATCACCTACAGATGAAACAGGTTGTACACAGAAGCCCTATCAACCAAATTATATAATTCATCATAGTCATTTTGGTTAGGCAGTTACACATGATTCAATGTTGTTTTACATCACTGGGAAATGACAGGTGAGTGATCAAAAACCTTGAATAATTTTCACACTTCTCATGATAGCGCAGTAAATACTTACTGCCGGAAGTGAAAAATGGTTGGACAATTTGGGGACAAAAGCAATATGCCCAGTTATACCTCCTGCTGTCAACTAACCACTCACCAGATGCATTGTGCTCCGTTTGATGACTTTCTCCTGGGCATTCCACTCAGTTGCTACTGCGAGGGCTAGAGGTTCACTTGGCACTCGGAACATGTTGCCAGTCGGTGTTCTCAACTTCCGTTTGTCAAGGTTAATTTCGTACCAACCTATAGCAGAGAGACAATAATACACAAGGGTTAATCAGGGGTGTTGTCATTTTTTTGGGGTATTTTATGGGCATATTCATGATTAACTATCTGCAGTTGGGTAATGAGGTGCCACAGAGCTATATTAGTTTAGAGAAGATGGAAAGCCATTCAGGAAAGTTCTGTTCAAGTGTGCTACTGCTTCAGGACAATTTGCCTTTGCATACGTTGCTTGGCTGCAGCTCCAGATTGTAGTGTGAATTACTTCATGACCCTTCCTGGACTAGCACAATGACTTTAATAACTCCCCTTACTTTAATAACTCCCCTTAGTTGCCTCTTGCGACAAGCATAGTCGCCTTTTAGGCGAGCATGGGTTGCTGAGGACCTATTCTAACCTGGATCTTCACATTGGCCATTGCCAAGGTCTTCTGAGGGGAACCATGAAGACTTCTACTGGGCAGGGATAACAAAGCTGGAGCATTGTGGGACCAAGTGTATTAAAGGCACATGAGATTACATGCTTATTGACAAATAAATTGTGAACAATATTTATTCTGAATGATTTGAATTGTTATGTAAGTTTGTTTTGTTTTGTAACTACATGATGTAGCACCTTCGCAGCACTGTGATGTTGCTACCATGGAATGGGAATTATGAAAATACTACCAGAACAAAAATGGACAGCAAAATATCACTTCTGTATAAAACACCTGATGAAGTGGCAAGCTGTAGCCCTGAAACATCCTTACACAGAATAAAGAACTTCTTCGATAGGCATTTAGAAGTTGGAGTACTAAGTAAGGATAAGATTTATGGATGAATTGTAGTAAAAAAGTTGTTCATCCATAAATCTTATCCTTACTCAGAATAAAGAAGTTTTTATACATAAAACATGTCATGTCTTCATGTTCTTCTAACAGACTGGTACAAAAGAAGTTAACAAGTCTGGTGACCTACTGTGCATACAGGGCGGCCAGGTAGCCTAGTGGTTAAAGCGTTGGCCTGTCACGCCGAAGACCCGGGTTCGATTCCCGACTTGGGTACAATGTGTGAAGCCCATTTCTGGTGTCCCCCACCGTGATATTGCTGGAATATTGCTAAAAGCGGCGTAAAACTCACTCACTCACTGTGCATACCGACTGTGTAATGTTTTACAAGACACACATGGTTCAGGTGCTATGAACTCCAGCCAGCCTGCTTGATGAAGCACCTATACTGATATGTCACTCAATGCTACAGCTTCTAAATTCCACTGGATATATTGTTCATCCATAAATCTTATCCTTACTTGGATATATTGTTGTTATTGTACCCCATAGCCCAGCATATTAAAGTTTTTGACACCATGAATCAGTGGTATGAAATGACTGGCACAGTTAAAGTTCTCACATGTTTACCCTCGCTGACCAGGTCATACTGTCCTCTGGCCTATGACAGCCAACCATGTCCGAGTGTAACTGTGATGCATTGTGTCCATGATAACTATTGCATCACTAATAATACAAACAAGAGTTTGCCACTAACGTGGCTATATCCCCCGCCCCTGTTGCAGAATTTATGACATAATTAAATCTAAACAAACCCTAACCTTTTTTAACCAAGGTGGAACTTGTCATGGAAATTGTAAAAAAAAAGATGAGATAAGTCCATCTTGTTGCCATGGAAACGTACAAAATAAATATTTCTCAAATTGCTCAATAGCAAAAGGCACCAGTTCAGCATGTACCTGACAGACCTGCAAAGTTTGATTAAAAAATATTGAACGTTTTATGAGTTATGCTCCGGAAACGAACCCTACCCTCACAGAACCTAAGTCCATCTTGTTGCCATGGAAACGTAAAAAATAAAAATGTCTAAATAGCAAAAGGCACCAGTTCAGCATGTACCTGACAGACCTGCAAAGTTTCATGAAAAGATATTGAACGGTTTATGAGTTATGCTCCGGAAACGAAACGCGACGGACGGAGCCCGTTTCTATATCCCCCGCCAACTTCGTTGGGTGGGGGATAATTAGATCGAAACACTCAGTAAGATGAAAACAACAAATCTTTAATTTCAAAAATATACATTCTCAAAGTAGTTAACAGTTCAAACAAATATTTGTAATTACTAGATTCCTGACATAAACATAGAAGTAATTAATACCAATCAGACCAAAACAATACATTCATGATTTCATAAGATATCCATCATCAAAATAGTTTAAAAACATTTGTCACACCTCAATCTAAGAGTGCTAACTTTGCCAGGTGTCAAGGACTGTACAGTATAGAAACATCAACAGGTCAAAGAATCCAGGAACACAAATGTTCTTGATTTACATTCTTTTCACTGTAGAGTCCATGCCACCAGCTGGTCCTTCCATTAAAGCATCTGGCCCTGACTCTATTCCAAATGCAGCTCAACCAAGAGCTTCAGTGAAAGAGAGACATAGATCAGGACCTTTAGTTGTGTACTAGTTCTGAACTCACCATCAGCTGTAGCAATAGTAGCTTGTTTGTAAAACTTCTTCATTTCTGAAAATAAATAATAAACAGTTTTTAATCATGTTTTTGTGAGACACATGTTCCTGCTATAAATTGAGTGAGTGAGTAAGTTGAGTTTAACGCCGCTTTTAACAGTATTCCAGTTATATCGCGGCGTGTCAGCTTAATGTGGGAGGAAAGCCTGAAGTGATGCAGGTTTTAGACGTTTACCACTTCGGTGAAACCCACGAGCACGGGTATGGTGCTGACAAACCTAGAAACATAATCGGGGTGAACCGGGATTCGAACCCGCAATCATAGGTTTCTGGTGAGCCCAAGGGACGCAACTCTGCACAGCGAAAACGCGGCGCCTTAGACGACTGGGCCACCCGTGCCCCCTCCTGCTATAAAGAAAATATCTTTGAGCACAGACAACAGCAAAGGCCCCATGAGGATTCCAGGATAGAATAAGCCCTCAGCAACCTATGCTTGTCATTAGAGCAACCAATGCTTGTCATTAAAGCAACCAAAGCCTGTCATTAGAGCAACCAATGCTTATCATTAGAGCAGCCTATGCTTGTCATTAGAGCAAAAATAGATGCACAACATGGCCAGTCACATAACATGTATACAGGATAACCATGATAACAGGAAGGTTACAAACATCAGCCGATACATCATCGGTACATACGATTGTTTTGATGCAAAATTTTCATCAGATCAAGTCTGACGAAAAGGGAAATTAGTGAAAAAAGTAAGTTTTGCGGTGTTTTCAAAACTTTTTGAATATCTTTCCTTGTGAAGCTTAATTCGCAACATAAATTCAGCGGCTAGTGGCGAACACTTTGATGCTTCAGTGGGCTTTGAAGCAGTCTGCCATGATTACACAATAAAGCGTGTGGTCACGTATTGTTAAGGCCAATAAGGGGCTCGAAAAAAGGTGAGACTTGAAAACGTGTGACGCGGGGATACTTTTTGCAACAGCACAAAAAAAGTTTTCAATAATGAAAGAAAAAGGCCACGGCAGATGGTTTATAGTTTGCGGAGTGTTAAACAAATTCCTTAAACAGATGATTAGGTGCCTAATCATGCTATTCAATGATCGGTCTGAACACGAAGGGAATACCATCACGAAATTAAAGGACTCACGAAAATATGTGTCAACCCTACATTCGGACACATCAATTACTGTCAACGAGATATTAAGTAAGTAATAATTAATGATGACTAATTGTACCTGATAATGACTGCATACATCGTCTTTGTTGGTGTCTGCATAGCACCAAGGATTGGTTTGAAATGTGATTATTGAGATATCTGCATACGACTGCTCGAATCGCAGTCATCATGGGCGCCGCCATTTTGATAGTTGTATTTGTCTTCTTATATTTCATTGGATATCATCGACCGGAAGTTCATCTGTAGCCAATGGCACTGTTACTTACATAATTCTTCAACTACCGGTGTCACGCGTCTCAACTGCTTCGACTTTTCATTTGAAGCATGCCTGTCCCTCTAGATCCCCCAGCACCGGCAAATTCTGTACAGCCCGGAGTCACAACAACATTGTTATACAACGGTTCTTGCTTCAGGGGTCACCAAAAAAGCAAGGGTAATTGCTACGATGTCGAAGTCGTATTGCAGGTGAGAGAAGCTGTCAGTGAACATGAAATTGACATGTCATCAAGACATAAGTTGAACACGACCACTGTCAACAGTGAACACGCCGAGTTTAATGTTCCTCGTCATCGATTATTCTCACCACGCTGGTTCAGAAAGTATATCTAAGTGTCTTTACTATTTTATATATCTATTGTGTACAATATATACCTCTTAAGGGGCAAAAAGTGTAACAGCATGGTTTTACAGGACGCAGAAATCAGGGTCCAGTACTCGAAAATGTATAGGCTCTAGAATGTACGCAGAAAAATAAAATATATATTGCGTCCCAAGGGGCACATATTAATATTCACTGTACCAATTTCTTGACAAGAAATATTAAGTTCCTGTTATTAAAGTACACTACACTATTTTAAAGGGACCCTCGTATGTCCTGTAAGGACCCTTGAGATTAGTAATTGGGGGTCCTCTGGACCCCGAGTGTTGTAGGTCAAGGTGAAACCTTGTAACAGGCCTTAATTTTCTGCTATACATGTTTATTCCACTCTAAAGGCCTAGTTTTTTCATGATGAAAACGTTGGGAACTTCTTATTATGACAAGTTAAACACATTCACTCTTTTTTTTGTCATTTAGAGACAATTTTTGAAAGAGTTAAAATAATTTATGCCCAGTGTATGCTGGTTCAGTCTGAGATTTTAGCCACTAGTCTTAAGTCTGAGTCTAGTAAAATTCTGTTTGGTCTGGTAAGCTCAGCTAATAATAGTACATATAATAACACTAAATTCTACAGGAAGTGATGCCTAAAGCCAAATTCAGGCTGGTAGTCTCAAAGGTTTTTGCCACAGACTGCTGGTATACTCGGACCCCATGGTACCGCGGCATTCATCATATCGCGGCATTTGTGATTTCCGGTAGTTCACGCGGGACACGCCTCTTAGCAGCTGTCTATTAATGCAAATCAGTAACCAGGAAGTGCACACTTCGTAAACAATTTCAATTTCCTCGGAATGTTCTGTCTGATGTAAGTAAGGAGTTATTAATGCGTTGATACATATTTCTAGTATCTTTTGTAATATTGCCTTACCCCCATCTATCAATGGCCAACGATATAACCCACAGTTCCCCAAGTAAACTTTCTCTATCAACCTGAACTGGATCATCTGCATATTTGTGGCGACTAATAAGGTAACGGAAGTTACGTAGTCCGCACACTTTTTCCCGCTTTGTGCCCAGAATCTATTGGGAGATTATAAGGGCCATAATGCCAAACTTAGAAATACGTTCTTCACTTGTAGCCAAAAGATAAAAACATACTTTGGCATACTAGGAGTGTTTTTTATATATATATTGTTAACGTTTAACATTTTTTCATTATGTGACAAATTATTGTCATCCAAATTTTTTTTTATAAACGATCTTAGAATATCATTTCTCATATTTTGTTGTTGATTTTTAAAATATTTTTCTCTTACTTTTCTGTAAATATGCATTGAATACCTATTGCAGATAACACATTTAGAATTTTACTTGTGCTGTCTTTGCACTTGTCTTGACAAATCACTGATATCTGGCATGATCATACTAAGTGGCTGGTAGAATTATGTCCTCTTTTTCTCCAATTCGGACCTCCATACACAACTTTTCTCTGTACCACGATACGATGGAGTTCTCTCCCTTGTCAAACTGAGCGCGAGGCCCGGCTTTTACTCGGAGCTACTTATGTAAATAATGAACTTTTATCAGTGAAATATGCATTGTTAGATCAAATAAATGACATCTGATATAGAGAACACGAATAATCATAAAGGTTAGTGAGTGCATTTTGTTCCGTTCAGCGTACATCACAAGTACCGCGATACCCCGAGGTTGCAGGCTACTATTTCCTAGGCCTAGGAACATTTAGTTAGCTGACAAACAAATGAAGTTTGAGCGATATGAATCAAATCTGCTTGGAGCATTGATTACTTCCAATTGACCCGAGTCTTAGGCAGTGTTGATACAGTTAATTGTAATGTTATGCATGATAACAGAAATATCACCTCTAATCTGGGCTTATGTCAAGTATGTGCCTCTGGCATACAAGGGATAATCACAGATCAGGGTACAATGTGTCAGTCATAATATAATACCCAAATCATAGAAATGGCTTACATTCTGGGTTTTACCTTGACCTACAAAACTAAGGGTCCAGGGGATCCCAATAACCAATTTCAAGGGTTTCCTTACAGAATTATGAAGGTCCTGTAAAGTAATTAAATGGCGTAGAGTACTGTACTATAAGATTCAATAATTACTTTATAACATGACCTTACTATTTTTTGTCAAGAATCTTTTTCCTGCGTCCATTTTATTCATTTGTGTGTACTGGATGCACTTTTCCGTGGTGTGTAAAACCCTGTTACATACAATAAACAAGTTTTTATGATGATATAGTATAATAATGTGAATAAATTTGCATGCTTCAGTTCAGATTTGTATTTCCACTGTTACTTGCTCATAGTGATCAGCTGATAATGTTTTTTGAGATGGGGAGAAACATTGTGTCAGTGTAAAGCTTGAGTTTTTTTAAAATGTAAGTATGCATTACCGCACGCAATATCAGAGTTTTGAAGGATGCAATACCAAAGGAACACTGTACATACATTCTCCTTCATTTTTCTTCACTGAATTAGATATGATCACTTTTAGATTTTATTTTCCCATATCCAGTAACAGACATGGATAATCATGATAATGAAAGACTGGATCATGGACACAAGCATTCGGGCTTGAAACCATAGTCACGTTAGCAGATGTTCATCAGGATATTGACACTTTGTGCATGTCTTTTTATCCTGCACAACTTTATTAAACTATATATATGATTGTGTTTTCATAAAATAAGTGTATGACTATGAGATCGTTTCATTGTTTCCTGTACCTGCAGTATGTCGACATGGAGAAAGCTTACCTCTGTGGGTACCTGAAGATCAGCGGTTTAACAGAGGAATTCCCTACACTGACAACGTTTTTCGATGGTGAAATAATCAGCAAGAAACATCCATTCTTGACGAGGAAGTGGGATGCAGATGAAGATGTTGATAGAAAACACTGGGTGAGAATGTAAACCTTCTAATCATGTATTCATATGTGTTGTGAGAATTATCCAGTATTGCCTTATGTTGTCCAGGAAACACTACTTGCAGCATTGCATTAGATTCTAATTTCACGCTCTCTGAAGGGCACTATTTGTCTAAGGCACCGCAATTTGCTGTGCAGAGTTGTGTCCCTCCAACCATCATATCTCCAGGGCTGTCATTTCGGTAAACTTACACTGAACCCTGGACCCATCCCACATGGTTCTCGCGATTTCAAATTGCTTTGGCCAAATTTATTGTCGAAGCTACTATAATTTAGGTCTAAACTACGAATCAGAATGCGAGTTACAAACCAGCCTCAATGTTGGGTTGGCGATATCAACAAAATAGAGGCCAGTCCCACTGATTGCCATGATTTTTGCGAGAACATTGAAAACTGACCAACATGTGATAGAAAGCCCTCAAACATTTTTTTGATGGTAAGGGTGTCTTCATGTCCATCAAAACTGATGGTGGTTTTGGTTTTTAGGCAATATGAGTTACCTCCCTTACCCATTTCTTTTTTCCTTATCTCAACGTTTGATTGGTCGGTATGAGGTTAATGAAAATCAAGGGCGGGTAATTTAAGATTGCTAGAACCGTAGGGATGGGTCCAGGGGTTAGTGTAGATTTAACGAAATGCTAGCCCTGGAGATAGAGGATGAAGTCTGTTGGGCACATCAGAAACCTATGATAGTAGGTTCGAATCCCAGTTTGTCAAATTGTATGTGTCATGATATGGCCCACTGAAATATGTGTAGTATTGACAGTCTTGTGTCATGATACCATACTTCATCACTACACAAGATATTACAAGGTATGTCATGAAATTGGGAATTGAAAGTCCTGTTTTTAACATTTTGTGAGCTCTTTCATTATGTTTGGCCTTCTCTTTCAGGGAAAGTTTCTTTCCTTCTACCAGTTTGCGAAAAGCTTTAACAGTGATAGTTTTGATTACGGAGATCTGAAAAATACAGACTTTGTTTTCATGAGATGGAAGGTGAGTCCAACAACATTTTTCATTTTTTAAATCATGTAATGGTTCTAATCAGATGCACAGTTTTGATTAAACAACACAATAAGTCTTCAGGCATTTCGTCAAACAATACCCTATGTTGGTCATGTTTTTAACAAGCTGGCCCAGTCGTCTAGTGTGCCACACTTTGCTGTGCAGAGTGGCATCCCTTGGGCACACCAGAAACCGATGCACATGGGTTCGAATCCCATGTCCCTTGATTATGTTTCCAGGTGTGTCAGCACTGTAACCGTGTTTGTGGTTTCACCAAGGTGGTAAACATCAGACCTGCATCACTTTGGGTTTCTCCCACAATAAGCTAACAGGGGCGGTCGGGTAGCCTAGTGGTTAAAGCGTTTGCTCGTCACGCCGAAGACCCGGGTTCGATTCCCGACATGGGTACAATGTGTGAAGCCCATTTTTGGTGTCCCCCGCTGTGATATTGCTGGAATATTGCTAAAAGCGGCGTAAAACCATACTCTCACTCACTCACTCAATAAGCTAACACATCAAGATCTTATTGGAATACTTCGGAGTTAATCCTAAATTACTCACTCTCCGTCAGTCCCATTAACATGGCCAACTCACTCACTCACTATAAAATAAGCTGTCTTTGAGAATGGTCCATATTTTGTGTCATTCACAGATTACACTGTTTCCAATTAGCAATAAATCATGGTACTTTTCACTGCGTTTTCAGGAACATTTTTTGGTGCCCGACCACACAATAAAAGACATCAGTGGAGCATCATTTGCTGGGTTCTATTACATCTGCTTCCAAAAATCTACTGCAACCATTGAGGGTTACTACTACCATAGGAGCTCAGAATGGTAAGCAAGCCCCCTATTCCTATCTCGCCCCATTATGATCATACCATGCATGCATAGTTACATTTTTAATATGAAAATAAGGGCGTGGGTGGCCCAGTCATCTAAGGCAGCGCGATTCGCTTTGCATAGTTGTGTCCCTTGGACACACCAGAAGCCTGTGATCTTGAGTTCGAATCCTGGTTCACTCCGATTATGTTTCAAGGTTTGTCAGCTCCATACCCAAGCTCGTGGGTTTCACCAAAGTGGTAAACATCTGAGACCTGCATCACTTCGGGCTTTCCTCCCACACCAAGCTGACACGCCGTGATCTAATTGGAATACTGTTAAAGGTGGCGTTAAACCCGACACTCACTGATATGAAAATATGCACATTGTCATCCGTTTGCTAAAAAAAAGGCACACTAAAAAGCGGCGTTAAACCATACCCACTCACTCACCTTTTCTGTACTTGATAAATCTACTTTTTTATTTCAGGTTCCAGTCTCTAAACTTAAACCATGTGGGGGATCGCAGTATTCCGATCTACCAGTTCCGATAGAACCAGTCCCCTCTCCCACCCAAGTAGCTTTGCTCAGTCTTTGTCACTATAGAAACTGTTTATACCATAAAGATTCATTATACATGTAGTGACATGATATCCAAGTTTACAAAAACCGTTGCTTCAAAATAGGGCAGGTAAATCCATTCTGCTTGTTGGTAACATTTTTTTACGGCTTATAATATGTTAATTTTCTTGATTTTTACCAATATGTTCAAACATGTTTGATATAAAAAAGTATCGAAAGAGTTATGACAATAGTTCCAGTTAGGAAAATGGCTCTGTGTCGATATGTATTTTTGTTTGCTCTGTAACCATGGTTATGTGGTATATGATTTTGTGTTATTTATTATAAACCAGATTGCAGTAATTATCCACCATTTAAGTGAGTTTTTTTGTGATAGCCAGTGTGAATCTTATGTACATATTCTGCAATTTGTATAAAAGTTTTGGTATGCATTATAATTGGTTTATTTAGCTCCTCAGAACCCACATTAACCATGTTAACAAATAACCCTGACAACAACATTAAGACCACAATCTAGTCTGATGACTGACAAGTATTGATAAAGGATTCTGTTCAATACTTTAAGGTATTACCTCAAACTATTATTCTTAACTGCTTGTTAGAAGTGAATAGACGAGGTACAGTCCGGTGATAGATTGTAACAATTTAACCAATGATTTGGGTTTTTACATGCTGATGGTTGTGTGTCTGACCAGAAAGTTTTCAAGCGTCATCCGAGCAGGTTAGTTGAAATTTTCTGACAGAAGAGGTTTACTTATAAATCAGGTAGATATATTGACAAAATGGATCTATAACAAAATGTCTTCCTCTCAGTAAAGTTGTTATCCATAAATTGTGTCTACTTCGTCACCCGTCAACTTCTAATTAATGCCTATCAAACAATTCATTTAAAAAAATATATTTGACTCTTTCTCTTTTTATTATTCTTATAAGTATTATTGAATTCCGTAGAATTGCATTTTAAGATTTCAAGACTGTTATGGAAATCCACAATTTGTAAATGAAAGCCATTTTGATGGCTTACTAACGGTGATGACCAATTTATGACATGGTTAATTTAGCTCCTGCAGGTTTGATGCTGGGGTTTGAGGTAAATGTTGCAGTACAAAAGCAAACAAGCCTTTATCATGTTAATGAATAAAGCCAAACATCTCTTTGTATAGAGCATGCTTTTATGAAAGAAACAAAATCTGTTAAACGTATGTTTATTTCATGTGACTGACATTGGTATAGAAGCACATGAAGACTTTCTGTTTGGTACTTGTTGCCATGGCTACACACATTGTTAATTCCTGGTGATTTACCTCGTGACGAGTATGGGTTGATCCTGTCATGATGTTCCCTTAATGTTCTGAATGTAGTCTCTGTGATCATACAGGCAAACATCATCAGTACTTCACAGGTTAGTATACACTGTGTTCCTCCATCACCCATAAGTACAGAAGACCCGTGAAGATCCGGGTAGGATGGGTCTTCAGCAACCCATGCTTGCCGTAAAAAGGCGACTATGCTTCCTGTAAAAGGTGACTAATGGGATCGGGTGGTCAGGCTCCCTGACTTGGTTGATGCATGTCATCAATCCCAATTGCATGGATTGATGCTCGTGTTGTCAATCACTGGATTGTGTGGTCCAGGGTCGATTATTTACAGACCGCCATCATATAGCTGGAATATTGCTGAGTGGGGCATTAAATAACATTAAACAAACAAACGAAAAAAATACAGAAGTTGCTATGTTGTGTAACACTGACGTGTGTCTATTTTGAGTCAATTAATGAAATGAGGGCATTTATAACTTCCAGAAGTTAAATTGGAACTTGCCCAGGTGATGGAGGAATGTTATGTACAACCAAACATTTTCCTGTACATGTGTAGTTTCCTATACATGTGTACAGTTTCCTACACATGTGTAGTTTCCTATACACGTGTACAGTTTTCCGTACATGTGTAGAGTTTCCTACACATGTGTACAGTATCCTATACATGTGTACAGTATCCCATACATGTGTACAGTATCCTATACATGTGTACAGTTTCCTATACATGTGTAGTTTCCTATACATGTGTACAGTTTCCTATACATGTGTACAGTATCCTATACATGTGTACAGTTTCCTATACATGTGTACAGTATCCTATACATGTGTACAGTTTCCTATACATGTGTACAGTTTCCTATACATGTGTACAGTTTCCTATACATGTGTACAGTATCCTATACATGTGTACAGTTTCCTATACATGTGTAGTTTCCTATACATGTGTACAGTATCCTATACATGTGTACAGTTTCCTATACATGTGTACAGTTTCCTATACATGTGTACAGTATCCCATACATGTGTACAGTTTCCTATACATGTGTACAGTTTCCTATACATGTGTACAGTATCCTATACATGTGTACAGTTTCCTATACATGTGTACAGTTTCCTATACATGTGTACAGTTTCCTATACATGTGTAGTTTCCTATACATGTGTACAGTTTCCTATACATGTGTACAGTATCCTATACATGTGTACAGTTTCCTATACATGTGTACAGTTTCCTATACATGTGTACAGTATCCTATACATGTGTACAGTTTCCTATACATGTGTACAGTATCCTATACATGTGTACAGTATCCTATACATGTGTACAGTATCCTACACATGTGTACAGTTTCCTATACATGTGTACAGTTTCCTATACATGTGTACAGTATCCTATACATGTGTACAGTTTCCTATACATGTGTACAGTTTCCTATACATGTGTACAGTTTCCTATACATGTGTACAGTATCCTATACATGTGTACAGTTTCCTATACATGTGTACAGTTTCCTATACATGTGTACAGTATCCTATACATGTGTACAGTTTCCTATACATGTGTACAGTTTCCTATACATGTGTACAGTTTCCTATACATGTGTAGTTTCCTATACATGTGTACAGTTTCCTATACATGTGTACAGTTTCCTACACATGTGTACAGTTTCCTATACATGTGTACAGTATCCTATACATGTGTACAGTATCCTATACATGTGTACAGTTTCCTATACATGTGTAGTTTCCTATACATGTGTACAGTATCCTATACATGTGTACAGTATCCTATACATGTGTAGTTTCCTATACATGTGTAGTTTCCTATACATGTGTACAGTTTCCTATACACGTGTACAGTTTTCCGTACATGTGTACAGTTTCCTATACATGTGTAGTTTCCTATACATGTGTACAGTTTTCCGTACATGTGTAGAGTTTCCTACACATGTGTAGTTTCCTATACATGTGTAGAGTTTCCTATACATGTGTACAGTTTCCTATACATGTGTACAGTTTCCTATACACGTGTACAGTTTCCTATACATGTGTACAGTTTCCTATACACGTGTACAGTTTTCCGTACATGTGTAGAGTTTCCTACACATGTGTACAGTTTCCTGAATATCGGCCTCTGGGCGGGTCTAGATAAACCCCTGCCATAGTACATGTACTTGTTATGTAGGGTCCCCCAGAATGTTTCTCTTTTAACATTGACAGGGACGCCTTACCTTCAGGACTAAGTTCAAACACGGAACAGGCTTCCAAATTATTCTTGTATATGATCAACCTCTGCTGTTCCAGGTGCACATGGTACATTAAGTGTGTTCATGCATACCCTGTCTAAGTGTTAGCTCTCTTCCTCTACTGGGCGCCGTTCCACATAGCAATCTTCCCATACTTCAACATAGACTTACGGCAGCCGTAGCTCTAAAATCGCTTGGTGGAACGGGACCCAGTTGGATCAATATAAGCTTAAACAATACCAGATGAAACCTTTTTTCACTTTCACTAACAGTGTGTTAAAGACTTGTGCCAACTGGTGTTTCATTTTTTGTTTGGGTACGACTTCATTGTTAGCTGTGTATTTTGACAATTTTGTGGTCAATCAAATGTTTGGGATCATGATATACAAAAGCAGTTTTGATGTGTGTACTAACTTGCATGGGAATTTGGACATCTAGATCCAGGATACCATTGAACAGAGCACTAACAAATGATATAAGTTTCAAACTTCCAGTCAGTTCTAGTTGAGCTTGAAGAACACTTCCTAGGTTTTGGCTGTACAACAGGTAGACATACTCCCAGGGTTTTTTTTGGGTTGAAAAAGATGTTCCTATGGTTACAGCTCTCTCATCACCATGTTGAAATAACTTGAATTTGATAATGAAAAGTCTCCCTTTGAATAACGAGGCTTCCAGCCTCCTCCAGGTGCTTGGGATTCGGTGGCCTGTTTAGAGGGTATTCGGGATTAAGCAGTGTGGTACAAAGGACACAAATAAAGTCATATCTGGCAGATTCAGTATTTAAAAAATAAAAGGAATGTGCCTAAATTCAAATTGCACCCTTTTATGACCTAGAACGCGTTCTGTAGGTTTCCTGTGTGACTTTGTAGAGTGAGTTCTTACATGTGCTATTGAGTTTGTGTTAGTAGTATTCGGGAATCAGGGGTGAACAAACTAGACTCGGTGGAAACACTCGATGGTATTCGGGATTCAGGGTGGGGCTTGGCACCCTTGGTAATTGGTTGGTTTCTTCAAGTGGTTGGTTGGTTGGTTTGTTGTTTAACGTTGCACTCAGCAATATTCCAGCTATATGACGGTGGTCTGTAAATAATTAAGTCTGGACCAGACAGTCTAGTGATTAATGTCATGAGCATCGATCCACACAATTGGGATCTATGACATGCATCAACCAAGTCAGCGAGCCTGACCACCCGATCCCGTAAGTTGCCTCTTATGACAAGCATAGTCGCCTTTTACTGCAAGCATGGGTTTCTTCAAGTGGTATGTATAGATGTGTGTATGACATTGCTTCAGATCTTGTTACGAAGTATTTATTCTTAACAATGGTCAATGTTGTGTCCATCATTTTTGCAGCTAAATCTGAAGGAATTATTTTGACGAACCATGAACTGGTGAAACTGGTGATTGTGAACATGGTAATCTGCTGATTATGTCCCAGCTTGCAATTACTTTCGGATCTGTAAACAATGAAACATGAAGTCAACCAGGCCATGATGGACATTCCCAACTTCCTTGTGTCTGAAAGAAATGTATAGGATGAACATGATGAAATCCACAGCACTGAACTTGACAACCAGTGATGGACAACTGTGCACATTATTTGTTATTGTCAGTACCATTTATATACCAGGCACCAAAAGAAACTGTGTAGGATTTTCATATGCAGGGGGCACGGGTGGCAGAGTTGCATCCCTCGGGCACGCCAGAAACCTATGATTGTGGGTTTGAATCCCGGTTCGCCCCAATTATGTTACTATGTTTGACAGCACCATACCCGTGCCCGTTGGTTTCACCGAATTGGTAAACGTCTGACACCTGCATCAATTCGGGCTTACCTCCCACATTTAAGCTGACACGCTCTGATAAAACTGGAATACTGTTAAAACCGGCGTTAAACCTAACTCACTCACTCACTCATATGCAGTTTCTCTTGGTGCCTCTGGAATTTTCGGGGTATGTAACTTACTCATAGATAATCATAGTTGGCCAAGATCGATAAACATGATAAACATGAGGCTGGGAAATATGTACATTAAGAAACTTTCTTTTAAATCTCAGCAAATCTTTGCATGAAAAGGCATAATCCATGTTTGAGAAATGAATATGTAAATATTTGTACAGAGAGTTGTGATACTGAGAATTTCTGTAAATATCAAACAAATATAAATGGAAAAGTGTTGCCATGACAACCGAGTTCTGTGTGCCCTGTTAGATATTTAGAGACTTAGTTGGCTCCTGATCCATGAAATCCTGAGTGGTGTCCGACATGCTTCACAGGTGCCCGACATGCCGCACAGGTGTGTCCGACATGCCGCACAGGTGTCTGACATGCTGCACAGGTGTGTCCAACATGCCGCACAGGTGTCTGACATGCTGCACAGGTGTCCGACATGCCGCACAGGTGACCGACATGCCGCAGAGGTGACCGATAGCCGCACAGTTGTCCGACATGCCGCACAGGTGTCTGACATGCCGCACAGGTGTCTGACATGCTGCACAGGTGTGTCCGACATGCCGCACAGGTGTCTGACATGCTGCACAGGTGTCCGACATGCCGCACAGGTGTCTGACATGCTGCACAGGTGTCCGACATGCCGCACAGGTGACCGACATGCCGCAGAGGTGACCGACATGCCGCACAGTTGTCCGACATGCCGCACAGGTGACCGACATGCAGCACAGATGTCCGACATACCGCACAGGTGTCTGACATGCTGCACAGGTGTGTCCGACATGCCGCACAGGTGTCTGACATGCTGCACAGGTGTCCGACATGCCGCACAGGTGACCGACATGCCGCACAGGTGTCTGACATGCTGCACAGGTGTCTGACATGCCGCACAGGTGTCTGACATGCCGCACAGGTGTCTGACATGCTGCACAGGTGTGTCCGACATGCCGCACAGGTGTCTGACATGCTGCACAGGTGTCCGACATGCCGCACAGGTGTCTGACATGCTGCACAGGTGTCCGACATGCCGCAGAGGTGACCGACATGCCGCAGAGGTGACCGACATGCCGCACAGTTGTCCGACATGCCGCACAGGTGACCGACATGCAGCACAGATGTCCGACATACCGCACAGGTGTCTGACATGCTGCACAGGTGTGTCCGACATGCCGCACAGGTGTCTGACATGCTGCACAGGTGTCTGACATGCCGCACAGGTGACCGACATGCCGCACAGGTGTCTGACATGCTGCACAGGTGTCCGACATGCCGCACAGGTGACCGACATGCCGCACAGGTGACCGACATGCCGCACAGTTGTCCGACATGCCGCACAGGTGACCGACATGCTGCACAGATGTCCGACATGCCGCACAGGTGTCTGACATGCCGCACAGGTGTCCGACATGCCACAGAGGTGTCCGACATGCCGCACAGGTGTCTGACATGCTGCACAGGTGTCCGACATGCCGCACAGGTGAACGATATGCCGCACAGGTGAACGATAAGCCGCACAGGTGTCCGACATGCCGCACAGGTGTCCGACATGCCACAGAGGTGTCCGACATGCAACACAGGTGTCCGACATGCCGCACAGGTGTCCACAGGTCATTGAGGTGCTTATACTCTTCGGTTAATCTTAGAACCCTGTTAATCTGTCATATTTAACATGAACATTATAAGACTCACACTCGCCAGCTTCAGACACTGGTCCTTATTGTGATGTATTGGTTATATTTTTTATTAGACAGAGAATTGTTTTCATGTGATGACAATTACTATACTGCTGAATATGAATTAATACATGAAAAATATAATAGATATGTTTCAGCTTAGTGAACTGCCTAAAATTGTTTGTTCTTGTGAAAGAATTGGACAAAATATCTTCAATATTATCCCCAAATGAAGGTCAAACTTTGGCCGTACTGAAGCATAGAACTAGATCGTAGGGATGAAGTATTCACAGTGTTTTAGTAGGCCCAGGAAATATGTGAACATTCATGTTTCTTGTGATTGTAAGTCTGAAGGGCTTGCTGTTTTCAACTTTCCCTAGTCAGTAACCTTCAAGGTATGGATGTGTAGTGTGTTGAATGAAGTACAGCTGCATGGACTTTAAAATTTATATTTTTGTTACATAATGTATATTTTGTTAATACTACTGTGAGATTTTCTTTATTTTGGATTAACAGATTGTTTGTGAATCAAAAACTGCAAGTTGTGAATTTCATAGTCCTTCATGTTAGGGGTCGTCCTGTTCACAGTTCACTGCTAGACATACATGTAGTTCAATAAATAACGTGAATGGGTGGTTGAGAGCCCCATTCATCTAGAACCTTTTGTGAATTATAGTTTGTCCTGCATTTAAATATTACCTTTTAGTGTTCTCTTGGCTTCCCCGAATGCACTCCGTTTGATCCATGATGTTGTCATGAGCTCTAATGTCCTTCAACATATGCTGCTCAACTTTAGACAGGGACAACCAGACATTAGGAGAATCAGTTTTGTGTAGCAATGAAAGATAAAAAAAATGTCCTTATCAAAAGTTGAGCAGTATATATTAACTATTTTGCTCAGCTGACAAATAGGTTATTGTTACTTTCAATTCGGAAAGGAGAATATATTGTCTTTAAACAGCAACTCTCACTGTTTTAGTGCTCACAGTGCCTGACTGGTAAACTCTAGATTTTATTTTTTTCAATCTAGTAGTGTGAACTGAGACAGACCTTTATGTGACCTGTATGTTAATACTGTATGAGATCATGCTCCATACATTGGCGGTCCAGGGCATTGTGACGAGCAGAGTTGCCTCCCTTGGTATTGCCAGGATCCGTTGATCACAGGTTTGAATCCTGGGTTCATCATGACAGTGATCCTTGGTCTGTCGGCAACATACTCAACATGTGTGACATCCAGGACCTACATTATTTAGAGCTTTCCACATTGTGATGCTGTGAGAAATTACTCACATATTGTTCAAAGAGGAATTAAACCAACTCAACTCCCTCCCTGGTGTGTGCAACTCCAGCTTATGTTCGTAAGTCACTGTCACATACTGCCACAAACATGTTACCTACTTTTGAAGACTTTTTAATTTTCCAGCATTTGTGTGGTTTGTTTTCTTATCAAATTGGTCATTGGGTAAAAAAAAGATGTCATGTGCACCCTCGTGGCACACTGTATAGTTTACTTGAGAATTGATTTGGATGTGTTTCAACTTGATCATGGGTACAGTGTGTGAGGCCCATTTCTGGTGTCCCCCCGCCGTGATATTGCTGGAATATTGCTAAAAGCGGCGTAAAACCATACTCACTCACTCAACTTGATCACTACTTCTAGATCAGTGGGCACATCTCTATGAAAGTGGCTGTGCAGTCCATTTTCAGGTATTCCTATATATGTTTTGGAAAAAGTGACTCGTATTTAACAATGAATTGATCTTGCCTGAGGTAGTGGAAATATATATATTACATGGTCAAAGTACAGAATGCAGGTTTGTGGCAGTGATGTGTGTTACAGTTTAACATGGCTATTTGGAGGTATTGGAGATTTAATTGTCTCCTGTGTTCTGTTCAAAGTTCTGATCTCAGGACAATACAGTCACTACTTACTATGGGCACCCTGAGAATACTTCGATCTGACGTTATTTGTTTTACAATATGAAGAATTTTGCTTTCTGAGAGCAGCATTAGGCATTAGGGAAAGACAACTCCTCCTTTTGTGATTTTTACAACGAGTTTGTACGATGAAATAATCATCATGGATGTACTTAAAGTGTGGATTGTGTTGCGTCGACAGTATTAATATGATGGGATGGAATATATATCAGAATTATTTCAGGGCGTATATACGTATGTCCTTTTGAACTATAATTTCATAAAAATTGGATAACCTCCCTGGTAATTTCATTTAAATTCGAAACAACATGATTGACACAAGTGATGATAGTATTTTCTTTTGGCCATACATACATTTTGGTAGAGTGGGTAAAAATTAGGTTTTGAATCAGATTGCCAGCCAATATACAGGCAAATATAGGCAAAGCTACCACTTCACTCTAATGTTTAGTGCAGGGATTTGAGCTGGGAGTACCAGACAGACAGATTTTGAACTATTCCTTGACCAGCTAGGATTGGGCAGGCAGCTATTTTGAAATGCTGAGTACATAGATTAGAATAGAACATGCCTTGGAGATGTGATTCAAGTTGCTGCACTGCACAAAATATGAATGCACATAAGAGTCAACACATTGGTTAAAATGGTGCTCGCAGGAACGGGCACCACACTATTTTCGTCTTTGTTTGTCATACTTTTGAATGGATTTGATATATTACCTTTGACCTGAGAAGTGTTTTATTACCATATATTAACCAAGAAACCTGTTCAGTCTGGATATTGAGGAGGATGTATCTAGTTATGACCATACGTAACTAGTTATGATAACAATGGTATCCACATGGTGAGGAGATTGTTCTGGGCTCCATTCCACAAGGTGAGCTTTGCGCTAAGGTGATTATGACTCCTATACTTTAACATAGACTAATAACAGTCGTAGCTCTAACATCACTTTGTGGAATAGGGCCCTGGTTCAATAATAGTCGGGATGAAATGCACTGGGCCTCGTTCCACAAAACAATCTTAGCGCTGCCACTGTTGTAAGTCTTAGCACTAAGGTCACTTTGTGGAATGGTGCCCTGGGCCCTGTTCCACAAAGCGATCTTAGCCCTAAGTCTTTCGTAAGGCTATGTTAAAGTATGGGAGTTACGATCATCTTAGCTCTAAGATCGCTTTGTGGAATGGTGCCCTGGTCCCTTGTATCCAGAGCAGACTTTAGCTCTGTAACTACGTTAATAGTATCAAATTATATGTGCCATTATCATCATTGTATCTGAAAATTAACAATACCTCAATTAACCATGTATCTGACTGTGCACTTTTATTTTTTCATCTCTGAATTTGAAAGATGAGCAATTTATTGATTTTATTTTTTACCTGTCTGATATTTCCTACATTAGATTTATCTGTAGATGGAATGTGCTACCTATGACAGTCAGTGTTAGGTTTAAAAAGACAATTAAACAGTTTCTGCTGACTCTGGTAAAGACAGTGGAAGATGTTGCATGAGCCATGCTTAAGTTATTTAAACTTTGTATAGCTGTATGATATGTTACTGTTGTATGATAATGTACAGTCATGTATAATAAAGCTGCCGTTTTTACAGAATATGCTTGTGTTTGTTGAAGCTTTGAGGAAAGCGGTTGTTGGTGTTGGAAAGACAATGTGTTCAGACAAATAAGTGTAACTTGTTGATGCTGTCAATATTGGTCTCTGGTTTATCTGCTCCAGACTGGACATCTGTCCTGGAGGAAATACATTGTTTCTACCGCCTCCATGTTGTAGTGGATAGAGTGTCTGCCCAGGGAGCGGAAGGTCGGTGGTTTGAACCTGGCTGTGTGAGGTTTTCACGTTAAACTGCAGCAAGGTATGTCATGGACCGCCTCCATGTTGTAGTGGAAAGAGCGTCTGCCCAGGGAGCGGAAGGTCAGTGGTTTGAACCTGGCTGTGTGAGGTTTTCACGTTAAACTGCAGCACGGTATCTCAGTGTGCTAGCACTATAAAACTAGCACTAGTCAGACCAGCACAAGCAGAGACACATACATAGCTATACAAGTGGAGTAATTTTGAGGCAACCTTAACCCCATTTCACCTCACCTCCATGTCAAGCATTGGGAACAGAATTGTTGTTATAACAAGTTTATATTATGTCGCATTAAAGATTGTGTACATACGCATAAAACATGAATAAATTTGTAATCGGTTTTAAATTGAGGGCCTTGGGTAAGAATTCGAGGATCAGGTAGTCATACATGTAGACATCGTGCCATGATGGGGGACGTTGAATTAACTGTTACCTACAAGCACACGTTCCTGGTGAATAGGTCCCATCATCCACTCATGCATGTACATCAATTGAGAGTTACCTCCCTTGCTCTGTTGCTTTGCATCTGAGGCAGGTACAGCTTCGCCACTATTGGAAAAATACACTGATCTGTATCCCCAAGACAACACACACTGTGGATATTTCACATTTTATTTGGTGTAAATTGTGTTACAGCTCAGCTACCATGACAGTTTCACATTTGAGCAAGTATCCACTCAGGCCATGTCCTTCAAACTTCAAAAGAACACAATTATTTTTCTCCAAATTTTAAATGACCAAGATTACATGTAATATGCAAGCACCAACCATTTTGGAGCACCACCAATGCAGTTATCAGAATGGTCTCGGCACTTACATGTCAAATGCAAACTCAGGAAGGGCATTCCTAGCAAATTAATAAAGATACGAGATATGACGCCTATTTTAGGTGTCCAAACAATTTCACTGACTGCCATATTTTATATACCTGCATTTGAGTAGATTGCCATGGTAAATACAGCACATGTATTCCTACATGGGGCATGAACAGCCAAGCTCCTTGGATGGCAAGGCAAATATTCACACAGAAGTATGAACTGAAGTGCTGCAGACTCTTGGCAAGTAGTAACATCCTAACCATGCAAGTATTATGAAAACAACCACAACCCTAGAAGCTCCAGAAGTCTGGTACTCTGTTCCGGAGAGACAGTCTCCAGAAGTCTGGTACTCTGTTCTGGAGAGACAGTCTCCAGAAGTCTGGTACTCTGTTCCGGAGAGACAGTCTCCAGAAGTCTGGTACTCTGTTCTGGAGAGACAGTCTCCAGAAGTCTGGTACTCTGTTCCGGAGAGACAGTCTCCAGAAGTCTGGTACTCTGTTCCGGGGAGACAGTCTCCAGAAGTCTGGTACTCTGTTCCGGAGAGACAGTCTCCAGAAATCTGGTACTCTGTTCCGGGAAGACAGTACCTAGAAGTCTGGTACTCTGTTCCGGAGAGACAGTCTCCAGAAGTCTGGTACTCTATTCCGGGGAGAGAGTCTCCAGAAGTCTGGTACTCTATTCCGGGGAGAGAGTCTCCAGAAGTCTGGTACTCTGTTCCGGAGAGACAGTCTCCAGTTGTCTGGTACTCTATTCCGGGGAGAGAGTCTCCAGAAGTCTGGTACTCTCTTCCGGAGAGACAGTCTCCAGTTGTCTGGTACTCTGTTCCGGAGAGACAGTCTCCAGAAGTCTGGTACTCTATTCCGGAGAGACAGTCTTCAGTTGTCTGGTACTCTGTTCCGGAGAGAGAGTCTCCAGTTGTCTGGTACTCTGTTCCGGAGAGACAGTCTCCAGAAGTCTGGTACTCTATTCCGGAGAGACAGTCTGCAGAAGTCTGGTACTCTATTCCAGGGAAACAGTCTCCAGTTGTCTGGTACTCTGTTCCAGAGAGACAGTCTCCATTAGTCTGGTACTCTGTTCCAGAGAGACAGTCTCCAGTTGTCTGGTACTCTGTTCCGGAGAGACAGTCTCCAGAAGTCTGGTACTCTCTTCCGGAGAGACAGTCTCCAGTTGTCTGGTACTCTCTTCCGGAGAGACAGTCTCCAGAAGTCTGGTACTCTGTTCCGGGAAGACAGTACCCAGAAGTCTGGTACTCTGTTCCGGAGAGACAGTCTCCAGAAGTCTGGTACTCTATTCCGGGGAGAGAGTCTCCAGAAGTCTGGTACTCTCTTCCGGAGAGACAGTCTCCAGTTGTCTGGTACTCTCTTCCGGAGAGACAGTCTCCAGAAGTCTGGTACTCTCTTCTGAAGAGACAGTCTCCAGAAGTCTGGTACTCTGTTCCAGGGAGACAGTCTCCAGAAGTCTGGTACTCTGTTCTGGGGAGAAAGTCTTCAGAAGTCTGGTACTCTATTCCAGGGAAACAGTCGCCAGTTGTCTGGTACTCTGTTCCAGAGAGACAGTCTCCAGTTGTCTGGTACTCTGTTCCGGAGAGACAGTCTCCAGTTGTCTGGTACTCTGTTCCAGAGAGACAGTCTCCAGTAGTCTGGTACTCTGTTCCGGAGAGACAGTCTCCAGTAGTCTGGTACTCTGTTCTGGGGAGACAGTCTCCAGAAGTCTGGTACTCTATTCCAGGGAAACAGTCTCCAGTTGTCTGGTACTCTGTTCCAGGGAAACAGTCTCCAGAAGTCTGGTACTCTGTTCTGGGGAGAAAGTCTCCAGAAGTCTGGTACTCTATTCCAATACAATAAACCAACTGATGAAACACTCAGGCTATTTGCATTTATCTAACCTTTGGTGTAGTCAGGTATTGATTGACGCTGAAACATTGAACACTTTGCTTAAGGCCAAAAATATTCCTGTTTCTCATGACATGCTTCAAAACTGACCGTGAAGGGATGGAGGAGTTTTCTATTTTATATTTTAATTCTTATTAGGTTACATATCTGTAAAACTTCTATTGTTACATTTTTTACCTCTATTTGCCACACCCGCTGCAGCTACAAATGTAATCTCTGTTGTTTGTTTATTAACAATGCACACATCAATATTCCAGCTATATGACGGCAGCCTGCACTTAATTAATCAAGTCTGGACTGTCCAGTGATTTACACTGATCCACACCATCAGGGTATAATGACACACAATCAGCCAAGGCACCGAGCCTGACCACCCAATCTATTTGGCCACCTCTTATGACCAGGACATGTTGGGGACCTAACCCGGAATCCCAAAGGGGAGGAATAAATATAAAGATAGATTGGCCTATGGCCATGGTTCCACCGCTTGGTTCCCCTGCAAACTCGTCAAATTTCAAATGCATGGTGTGTTTGGTTGAAAACTGGGGCAAAACTTGGGCAAAACAGAATCTGAATTAAAACCATTAACCATGCTTTAAATATTAAATATTAGGAGCAAGAGCAATTATAAGGGCAGGTCAGGAGAAACAAGAAATTTATAACAAGCCCAACAGAGGCATACACTGCCCCCGAGGTTCATAATATACTACTCAAAAGAAGTTAAAGAACACCCATGTTTTTCATATTACTTGACTATAGTCAATCTGTCATGGCCATGTGTTATTTTACTTCTTGTGAGCAGTATATAATGTGTGTTCCTGTGACGCCAGTTACAACAATACGTATCCAACATAATATCTTTCATAAACAGTGTGACACTAACAGTTTACAGATCTTACCATGCTTGTTGTGACTCTTATCTTTCCATCATCAGTCTACAGCACTGAACACATCACTCACATGGGGGGTTCCTGTGATTAAGTTTAACTGATATGGAATATGCTGGATGTGGTGAGTGAGTGAGTGAGTGGGTCGAGGCCTTGTCTAGCTCCCTTATAAGAAAACAAAAATGTCTCAACTCAGGGTGGCTCAAATTGTTTTATTTTGACCTTCAATAAGTATGTCTCACATTTTGAATTTGTACCTCAGCGGGAAAGGGGGTTGTATTTGGCAATCCGACAAAGATGTACACAGTATTCCAATAACTGCCAAGGTTGCTTTTTTGCAGTTAGGTTCCACAAGATTGCCAAAGTCTAAATGCAAGTAATAGTCCTTTCAGACCTACAAACAAACACAGGAACCCCCCACCTACCAATCCAAGGTTTTTACTCTGTACAAGAGATACCTATTTTACCAACATGGGATACAAACCAATGCCCAATATTCGCTACATTTCCAAGCATATAAATAACACTTCATGGACAGGAACTGTCTGAAAAAATTCTAAAAATATCGGTCATTTACAAATTTGAATTTCAAAGACAGAATAATCTTATATTCTCATTACATGGTAAAACAATGAGAAAACTTGCTTCAAAAATACACCAAGGTGCGTAATGTCTCATATACATAATTATCACCAGGCTTTGGACGACTTAGTTTTAAGCTTTCACATGCAACACATGACGCTAATGTCAAACCATAGCCTTAACAAAAAGTTGAGAAAAATTCCCACATATAATACAATCAATAAAGACATTCATGATATACTCTTAGTATGTAAAAGAAAACAAATTGAAATACATATTGTTTTAGTTGTTTTACATGCAACTTCACATAGAAGCTAGATATTTAAACAAAACATGGTAACAATTATTTTATAATCAGTTCTCATGGCATTGCATCTTATACAAAATTATTTTGTAGCATGCATATAAATGGATAAAAGGTCAACTTTCATTGGCTGCTTCAGGCTCAGTGCTCATTGGTCAAAACTGAAATGCTTCATCCTCATTGGCTTAAGTGAATTTTAAATTCTTATCTGCCAACACTTTTAAAAACGTATAACAATCTCATACACAAGTTACTTAATTACTCCAATTAGACACTGATAACAACATTTACAAAATAATCAAATAATTCTTTTTGGAATATGAATGATCAATTCTAGTATCTAAAACAGCAAAAACAGGGTGTTATATGTCTATTTTGAAAATCCATTTTCAGCAAAGATAAAACAATAAATATATATATTCCTGCGATTTATTTTTCAGAACATAAGTAACTAAATAGAAAATAATAAATGCTAAATGTGACATTTGGCATGAGAATTACTCATGACTGTCAAAAAGGTGAGGACAACACTACACTCACAAAATAAATGTTTACATCGTGCCAGCTATTTACAACTTAGGTGTGTAACCACCGGGACGTTAAAACTAGTGTATCCGCAAGCCCAGCACACTGACCAATGAGCAGAGAGCCTACCCCTACACAGCCTGTGTACGGAGGAGATGGACATATATCACATAGCCAATCTGTCAGCCTGACCAATGTCTAGCAGGGGGAAGGTCATTCCGTTACAGTAGCAAAACTTGTCTCGGATCAAAGACACACACATTGGCAGAATTTCATGGTGATGTAAGAACATGAATGAATCTCAAAATATGTAGAATTTCAGGACACATATATTTTTGTAAAAAACAGTGGCTTGAGTGTACATAATACAGCTGGTTTCAGTGTCAAAGAGATTTATGATGTCATTTGATTGTGATGTCATGGTAACCGATGACACCACAATGGTCTTCAAAGCCTATCCTTGGAGATATCACTTGATCTCAACTTAGCCATATCTCCTGTGGAAGCTTGTTTGATGATAAACATGGTTATATGTCATGGTGAGACACTCAATGAGTGACACATTCATCAGAACCATGTCCTCACCACATTTTCTTTTGTATCACGGCAAGGCCGTGCCAGGAAAAAGTTAATCATTCTCAAATACTTTTAACTGATAAATGTCACAGATAAACATGAGGGTAGCCTTGTGGATAAAGCGTTAGCTCACTACACTCAAGACCAAGGTTTGAACCCAACATGTGTAAAGACCATTCTTTGTGTCCCTCCATGACTTGGAATACTGTCATAATCCACATAATCGGCATTCATAATGACCTGACCACCATGAAATCCCCCGCCTGTGCATCAAGGTTTGTTCCTCCTCACCCCCCGCCCGCCCCCCTTCCTCCCTGCTGACCAGCCGTGGACACTACATGTGGACCTTAACATGATCTGACACTACAACAATAACATTGGTATTGGAGGAAAGAAACACGTCTACTCAACTCAATAATCATCGGGATATACTTCAGGACATGTCTATTGCACGGGTCGTTAATTCATCCTTCATTGGGGCATATTTGTAACATATGTTGAGATTGGTAACATTGTCTGATCATACTGGTGAGAAAAATTTGGAAAATTTGAACCAGAATGAATGTCCCTGTAGCATTGGCTACAGAATCAGACCTGTGTCATGGTGGATGTATGTGGTTCAGCATTTCTCACTGTGTCATAAATCATTTCATGATTCCAGGTACGAGGAACTTCAGATTTTCTGTCCGGAGTGTAATATTATTGCTAAATTGTTGTTGAAAGAAGTTCTATGCATCCTTCTCCCACAATATAATCTGTTCCAATGCATTACTTTACAAATCAGTGTGAAACTTGAAATAATATTCTCAGCATGAATAGATGATTAATTTATCCACAGTGTGCCACAGGTTTCCTGACCTTTTACAGCAAAACCAGTAGATCTGAATACCGTAAACCACAGAGTTTTCGTGCCTGTTTAACTTGGCACATTTCCCAATATGGTTGAGGATAAAGCAAGAGACTAACCTGTTCTATTCCATACATACCACACAACCACTAAACAACAGATGCTTTCTTTAATTTGTCATATGATTTTACTCCGGACAAAGAAATGCATTGAAATATCAGTGCTTCCTACTTCAAGAACCTTAAAAGTATAAAACTGTTTTTCTGACTGTTTTCAAATCAGCTGGGATTTGTTAGATCATGTAACAATTTCAGACTCAGCCAGTTGGTACTGAATTCACTTTTTCCTCTTCTAATTTCTCTGACATTTTCATAAAACAGGAATATGATTTAAACGTAAAAGAACTGATAATACAGAAACAATAAAGGGTCATTAACATATTATGCTCTGATTTAACCCGACTCAGCATTTATGATGATTATTATTACTTTCTATAATACACGTCATAGCAACAACTGATGGATGGATTCTAAATGGAACCTCCATTTCATGTATTGGGATTCTCTTAAGATACTCCCGCAATACTGATCAAAACACATACGTGATGAAAATTAAATACCATGAATATTTTCAAATAAATATGAATGATTGAAAATTTGAAACAAAAATGTCATGGGTTTAGAATTTCTTTGATATGCATTACCTCTAGATCTGTGTATATCATCAATGTTCCCTGTACATATGAGGCTACATATCTTCCAACTGTGTTTGCATAGCATATTAATCAGCAGTACAGACAGGTGGAAACATACAGTACAGGTCAACACTCCATTACCCTCCACTCAACATTGGACTATTGAAGAAAATACCTGCAAACATAAAGAAAATAAGAAAACACAGAAAAATTCTGAAAATATTAGTACGGAACCGTGAAACCTGCATATGAACAAATCTAGGTCGGATGTTTTAAGAAAACATTGACAGATACATCAGCAAAATATCTTCATTTATTGATATTATGTATCTAAATCACTTTTTTAAAACGCCTATATTCTTATTACAATGAAGATAATCTAATGAACATGATGGAAAATCAACAGTTTAAGCAACTGTTTATTACTTTGTACTGAAATTATCAAATAATACCATTTCCAAACTATTATATTTTAGGGACAAAAGATAACTGTAATGTAATCAAAAACATAAATGAAAGCATACTTATAACGCACTTAAATAATCAATCATGAATATTTATAAATATTCAACATAATGTGAAAAGGTAGATTTTTCCCAAATTTGGCTTACAAAAACTAAACATGACTAAATACTGTTCCATGAATAAATATTTGCTTCATCCTAGCAGCTTTTTTAGAAAAAAGCTTAAATGCTTAGTTTGCATCAGCTGATGAAAAAAGAGATAAACATCACAAAAAAATTGGACGGATAGGTGTATCACTTCAGGTGAAAAACACATACATATATGGTATACGTCTATCAAATGTGTGTACAAAATGGACAGATTAAGATAATGAAAGCCCTATTTAGAATTCTGATTTAGCAAAGAGCAGCATGTCACTAACAAATTCTCTACATGACACTAGGTAACAACAACTCAGGTTTCCTCCCCTACAATGTCAGAAAACCATCGCGAGAAAACAATTTGTTCACAAGAAATATTCAAATGCATGCATGGCTTTGTCTGGCCAAAATGATCTTCTGTGATGTAAAAAATAGTTCAAGGAGAAAAATTCAATTATAAAATCTTTCATTGAACAATTACAATTTGATGTTCTTGGTTCTCAAGCTCCCTTGTATCTCTACACTATTCCACATTTCATTTCTCCTGTGGGATAAAAATATGAAAAAAATCCAGGTTTCGCATCTATTTCACACACTCCTGAGAACCAATAACTTGTATTTTTTTACAGCCTGATTAAATTGTAATTTACTTACATGCCATTGCAAATAGATCTATTCTGAAGATTTTTAACAGATAACATTCTTAAACATATTGCAATAAAAACAAACATCAACAAATTTAAACAATGAGTTTTCTCCGACTACACGAACCAGTGTGGCAACATTTCATAAATACCTCTTTAATTCGCTCTAACAAAATCATCAAATAAACAGGGCTAACAATTAGTTTACTGTAAATGTTCTAAATATTTGTACATATCACCACGGTTACCATGATAAAATACTGCAGTTACCATGGCAACTGAACAGACTAGATGCTTCACGTAAGGTCCATGCAAGTGTAGCTCCAAGATTTTTGTCGAAATTCGACCAAATTCACCACAGTTTCTGTGAAAGTCGATTATGCATCAGCAGTACTATCGATAAACAACAACCAAAATACAACAACATGGGAAGAGAGCATCTTATCAAGAGAATGGCATATTATGCAAATAGAAACCTGTAATATCAAATACCATTTCTATCACATTCTCAAAGCATAACACTGAAAGTTAAACGTAATAAATCCTGTTTTGAAGTCATATGCCGGAAGTGGTATCAAGTAGTAGTATCAAAGATGAATTTTTCTAATTACAATTTGTTTAGATTACAGCTGTAGCTCTTCCAGTATAACATATCGTCTTCCCAGTGTTATTTTCCTTGTTGTTTGTCTGAGATGTGTACAGGTATCACGGAGCTACCAGCGCCCGCTAAGACTAGCAATGTCTGGACGCCTGGGACCCATCAGCGATGCTCCGTTTTCCTGAAACGGGTTGTTGTTGGTGGTGGGATTGTTGCTGGTGCTGGAGGCAGATGTGGCACCACCTGGAGTAATATTCCGCAACGTTCGGCGTTTTGTCAGATCTGAAACCAGAAAGTGAGGATTGCAACCTCATTCTTTTTCTTGAGTTTACATTTTTTTCTATTTGGAAAGATATTTTCTTCATCTTCGAGATTAGATCTTAACAAATTGAGCATGACTGTTTTGAAAAGATAGAAATTGACAGTAATTGTTGATAGTGACAGGAGAGCTGGTGAATGCTTTTTTGCCAGTCACCGATATTCCAGCTATAACCTGTACAAAATCAAGTCTGAACTAGACTTGGCTGACTAAAAGCATGAGCAACTATCAAACCATCTGAGAACAATGACACACAATCATCCAAGTCATATGGCCTTGCAATTTTGTTATGCAATTTTGATTGGACTATGCATAAACGCGTTAGTCCGGCCAAAGTATAACTCAGGACTTTTATAGTCAGTTAACTCCCTTGCTTCGGGAAGATGACAGCCTGACCACCCAATCTCAAGTTTAATCATCTCTTTCAGCAAGCATGAGGTACTGGGAACCCATTCCAGAATCCCCACAGGGGTGAGGAAATGTGCGTATACTGCAACACTTGTATTGAGTGAGTGACAAAAGGAGTGGTACCAGCAATAGCAATGAGCATCTTCCGTCTGGCTCCAAATGTGGAGATTCCCAGCTCTCGAAGGTCATGGTCAGTCAAGGTCAGGAACGTTGACAGATCAATCTAGAAAAGAAACGACAAGGCAAATGAGAAGTGAAACAACTTAGGAATTTGGTTCAAGATCCAAGAGACTGTGTGAATATGGTCATGATGGTGAAGGGGGAATTCCTATCTCACAAAAACATCCTCAGAATTCATCAGTAGGGGTTACATGGTTCATCGATGAATATGTTCACCACCATAAGTTCTATTAAGGAATAATTGGGTAGATTCGTTTACACAGAGTTACTTGTTGCCAAAAGAGTTGGGGAATCTCACTATAATCTCAGACGTTTGTTTGTTTGTTTGTTTGTTTGTTTGTTTGTTTGTAAGGTACTGAAATCAAACATTCCTGTCATTTGCAATCTGTCACTTCCACTTTGACCTGGCATACTGAATATTCATCAAAGAGGTCAAATGGCAAGGGCTGGGACATCTGGCCTTTCATAGAGAATATATGATACAAGTTCTCTCGAATATTACTTACTTCCTGCCAGCGACATTTAGTTGGCTGCATTTCTTCAAACTTTTTCACAGATGTTTAGCCTCGTTCCAAAATTTCATACAGCATTTGTTTCAAGTGAAATTATCCATGGCACAATAACTACTGCCTTTCATTATGAATACAAACAAGGCACAAACTGGCGACTGACCTCCTGTTGCTGAAAGAGATCGGTGTACTTGCCGAGCCCCATCTTACTGAAGAGCTCAGCCAGGTCAGTCTTGGGGGACCACAGATTCGGGGGTGGCAGGGCAGATGCACTGTCCACGTGGTTGCTGCTGCTCAAACCAAACTCATCTGCAACATAGATGGAGACATCACAATACACTTGGGGACAGTAGTTGAAGACATCACAATACACTTGGGGACAATAGTTGGAGACATCACAATACACTGGGGGACAATAGTTGGAGACATCACAATACACTGGGGGACAATAGTTGGAGACATCACAATACACTCGGGGACAATAGTTGGTGACATCACAATATACTGGGGGACAATAGATGGAGACATCACAATACACTGGGGGACAATAGTTGGTGACATCACAATATACTGGGGGAGAATAGTTGGTGACATCACAATACACTGGGGGATAATAGATGGAGACATCACAATACACTGGGGGGCAATAGATGGAGACATCACAATACACTGGGGGGCAATAAATAATACATGTTTTTGTGTTTAGGGGAATGGCTGGTTGGGTTGGGTTAAAATGTGACCTTGTGATGAAGCTGGAATTACAATTTCTAGAGCTCAACAAGACTACCTCCACCCTGGGAAAAGTCTCCGCAAAGGTCTGAAACTCTATGAATCCTTAATTGCTATGAATGGAACACATAGTTTAATTCAGTTTGAGACACTATGTATAAGATGCAACCATACACCTTGAGAAACAGACTTGAGAAACCCCATAATTCATCCTTATGAAATAACAACAATCGCTGCCAACTCAATTTGTTGTGACGAAATCAAAGGTCTCAGTGGTGGTGTGTTTTACTGCTACAAGGTATTTGCTGCTCACATTTCTTCCGAGGACTGGGGTATTCTCCAGGGGCTTTGTTGATCGGTGCATTGGTGCTACACGGGTTCCTCCACGGGTCTCGATCGATGCCTGCTTCCAACTCTGACTCTGGACTCTGTCATGGATGTTACAATAACATAGGTTCACACTTAACACGTCCATTACAACTGTGACATAGTTCGCGATCTGATGATGATGTACACAACTCAAAAGAAGTTAAGGACCACCCAATTTTTTCATATTACTATAGTTAATCTGTCATGGCATGATCAAGTAATATAAGCAATACGAAAGAATTCAGTGGTCCTCAACTTCTCTTGAATAGTATATATAAGGCCAATATTAAACTGTATCACGTGACTCATAAAAAGCAACCAACACTCTTTCTATCTCAAAGATATGATAATACTTATAATAACAATAATCTGCCATCGCATGTATAAGAAAAACATAATTTCATAATGACAACAACAAAAAAATGTTACATCCAATCTAACCTTTATTTTTTAACACAAAAACATGTAGCCAATCCTATTTTTGCCTGAAGTCAATGCCAAAGAAGCTGTTACATCTATCTACCCCCCTTACCTCGTATGTAGTAGACATGGCCGGCCCCAGGTACCTGGACCCCATCCCCAGCTGGCTGATCCTCTCCCTGATGGCAGACTCCGGCATGGACTTGGAGAACCCCATCCCTGCCCAGAAGTCTGTCGGGATCCGTGACTCCCCCTCGGGCTTCTTCTGCATGGCTGGAAGTACAAGAATGAGTGAGTGAGTGAATGTTGTGTGATAGACTGAACTACAAAAGCTTTATCATGACAGCCTGGAAATAATCGAGTCTGGATGAGGCAAATCAGAGACTGAAAGCTTGAGCAACAATCCAAAGTATCAGGGCATGATGACACATATCAGCCACGTCTCGAAGCCTGTAAACCTCTTCAGTCAGATCTTACAAAAAGCATGGAATAATTGAGACCTGTTTTTCCTCTGAATCCCAAGTGGCAAAAGCACAGTGACAATCATGCAGTGTGTTTGTGTATTCCTTGTTTAAGCTGCAACCAGCAATATTCCAGCTATATGACAGCTGTCTGTATACAATCGCGTCTAAACTAGACAATCCAGGGATTGATATTGTGAGCAATAATTCACATCGTCGAAACGTGATGACATGCCATCAACCAAGTCACCTAACCCATCCAATCCATTAAGTGAGTGAGTGAGTGAGTTTGGTTTAACGCCGCTTTTAACAGTATTCCAGTAATATCGCGGCGTGTCAGCTTAATGTGGGAGGAAAGCCTGAAGTGATGCAGGTCTCAGATGTTTACCACTTCGGTGAAACCCACGAGCACGGGTATGGTGCTGACAAACCTAGAAACATAATCGGGGCGAACCAGGATTCGAACCCTCAATCATAAGTTTCTGGCGTTCCCAAGGGACGCAACTCCAGACTCCCCAACAGGGGAACAATTATGTAAAGAATATTTACACTTATGACACTGTCTCTCATCACTGGCGCTGAGGTTGTCTGAAACCCTGCCCTGCCCTGACCTCTACTGATAGTGTCTACAGACACTTGACTGTTACACAATTAACTATACCAGCACTCTCATTAGCGTTATTGTACTTCCTGTTGATGAAGATGACCTTTATTGATGCTATCATTTTGAAAATACTGACACTGACAAATTATCAAAAACCTCAGTGAGATAAGGCAATCACAAGCTGTACTTGATGGGTTGATCCTGAACGCTGATGACTTACAACACATATTTTTGCAAGCACAAAGTGACTCATTTCCTTAAGTGATGTTATTTCCCTTTCTTCCATGTTGCATTAACTCCATGTAACGTTCAACCTTCTCCAAACACTCTTACTTAAATTTTGAAATCCAACAACCTCTAATTTGTTTTAAGTGATCATGTGTTTACACAAAGAAATTTTGGATTATTGCCTAAACGACCTAAAAGCAGGTCAAGGCTCTTCTTAATTGGCAGTCCCATTTCACAAAAACATACTACCTTTACAGCTGGATCTCAGGATGATAATAACCCTAATCTTCGTTACACTGGAAATCTAATCATCGCGTGACAACTACAAAACTAATGTGCTATGTCAATTAAGACATTTTTTCGTTGTTGCCACTAGCAAACACAAAAAGTGAGTTTTTCCGCTTTAAGCATGCGCATCAGGTACGGGTATCAAGATACCATTACTCATAACTGATTATGGATAGCTGACAGTAAATCTGAAGATTTTGAAGTGTGATGACAGCCAAAATGCCAGATTGATGGCTATGATGTAGTTTTGGTTTGGTTTGGTTTGTTGTTTAACGCCGCACTCAGCATTATTGCAGCTATATTACGGCGGTCTGTAAATAATCAAGTCTGGAGAAGACAATCCAGTGATTAATATCATGAGCATTGGTCCACGCATTTGGGATCGATGAAATGCATCAACCAAGTCAGCGAGCCTGACCACCCGATCCCGTTAGTCGCCTTTTATGACAAGCATAGTCACCTTTTACGGCAAGAATGGGTTGATGAAGACCTATTCTACCCCGGAATCTTCGCGGGCTATGATGTAACCGAGGTAGGGTATTCGCAAGAATTATTGGATTATTGCCTGCTGAATTGTTTTCACACTTCTTACACCTGCCTGCTGGATTAATTTTAGCATAAGGGGCTGTAAAGAGGATGTGTGATTTCAAACAGTCAGTGCTTTATTAAACAAAGGACAATTGAAGAAATATTTTGCATATTTATTCCAGATAGAAAAATAAACAGTACCATGTATAAATATCCTGACATTTTCAAACATTCAGAGCTTACGAGCAAAGCAAACCTAAAATTTGTAATGATGATGTAACAATTCAGAATTTTTCTGTTTTGTTTATAATTAGATGAAGCGAAAGTTGCTAATTTATAGAAATTAAGGAACTTGAGACTGTTTTCTTTTCATCAAAGAACCAAAAGTTTTAATCAAAATGACAAACATGTTTACATAATAAAGAAAACATCAGACTACATGCCACTCGATGTGAAATGTCTCAAGCCACCAATCGCCGGTACAGGATTGTGTGCCGAGAAATTTGACAATGCTTTAATAACTTGCAGAATTTTCTTTTGGAGGTAAATAAACTAACTTCAAGTTTTGATATTTAGAAAGCTGAGCATTTATGAATATCATACATAACTTAAATGATACATAAAGCCAACTTGGTAAATAGATATTGCGAGTTCTATTTGGGGTGTCATTATGCTATTTGCCTATCAAATAGTTCCAACACTAGCATTGAGAGCTTTAAAGGGGGTCAAGATTTGTGCTAGTTGTCAGTCCCAGTTTGCCTGATCGAAGTACAGTGGGACTATGTTAATCCTGTACTGTTCTTAGTGAAATCATCCGTAATAACAAGTTTTGGGGTAAATGAACCATTACAATACTATCAAGTGATTCTGAAACTGAGTTGACAACTTCATCGCTTCGTTTCTATTACAACTTCCGATAATACGAGTGGAGTATCTCGGTTGGACACATGCATCACTATAAATAGACCTCATATCAGTCGAAAAACAAGACCCGTTCGACAGTGTCAGGCTAAATGATGACCCTTGTGACCTAGTCCTTGTGATTTCTTTTCATAGATTGGCATATGATTCATATGATATAAGGAAGAATTTCGTAACAAATACGAAAGATTTGTGATAGCTGGCAGCTTTGAGTTACCCGAAATACACACTACTAATGATGTCCAGAACTAGGTCACTAGAGCCCTATGGACTCTTTAACTCTTTCTGTTTAATGACTTTTCATGAGAATTACAAGCAAGGGTAACAAGAGACTTAAACACCATCAAAAGAAAACATTCCTACCAAGTGAAGTAGGTAAACATCACATTATTTGATCACGCAATGCTTGAACAATTTTGTTCTTCTTCGATTGCACCACTGAGATGTGGTCTAGCAGTTGGTCAATGTGTACACCTACCTTTCATGGCAAGTAGCTTCTTCTGCTCGTAGTCAAATCCATACTGAAGTGGGTTGCTGAAGAGAGAGGAGGTGGAATTCTTGCGTTCGCTACCCGGAGCCCTCTTGTCAGAACTGTCGGACTCCCCTCCTGAGGACTCGGATGTATTGTCTAGATTACCATTCCTGTGGCAGAGACATAATCCATATCACATCCTGAAGACATATTCACCCCTTCCTCTATTAAAAGTTCAGTACTTTTTGAGTTCATGTTAATTACCCAGATGTCAGCAACATTACTACATTACTGTGGCCTGTGAATAATAGTGAGTAAGTATGATTTTACGCACTTTTAGAATATTCTAGCAATATATATCTCATGGTGGGGGAAATGGGCTTCACACATTGCACCCATGTAGAATCAAACCCAGTCCTTTTGTATGACAAGTGAATGCTTCAACCATGAGGCTACCTCACGTTTTCTTAGTACAGACTGTTTTCTTAATAGTGTTATCATCAATCCAAAATCTTATTTCAACTCTAAAATCTAAAATCGTGTTTCATCTACTCAGTACTTTCACAGATCAGACATATATCCCTGTGTCATCCACTTACTGTAGATGTCTGTTGGCCTCCATGTATAGGGCCTGTGCAGTACAGAGGGGTGTGGTCTTGCTGAGGCCTAGGAGATCCAGGGTGTGACCATTGCTACTGAGGGGGTCGCGGGTCATCATGTCCCCGATTGCACCTGCTGTCTGTAGGCTGGAGAAGTCCACTGAAACCAGACACAAGCATCATAAACATTGTGTATCATTGCAGTGTGCAACATTGTGTATCATTGCAATATTCAACAGTGTTTATGATTCCAGTGAGGAACAGGTGTATCATTGCAATATGCAACAGTGTGTATCATTGCAGTGTGCAACATTGTGTATCATTGCAGTGTGGAACAGTGTGTATCATTGCAGCATGCAACAGTGTGTATCATTGCAGTGTGCAACATTGTGTATCATTGCAGTGTGCAACATTGTGTACCATTGTTCATCATTGCAGTGTGGAACAGTGTGTATCATTGCAGCATGCAACAGTGTGTATCATTGCAGTGTGCAACATTGTGTATTATTGCAGTGTGCAACATTGTGTACCATTGCAGAGTGTACCATTGTTCATCATTGCAGTGTGCAACAGTGTGTATCATTGCAGTGAACAATTGTTTTTTCGAGAGCACAAGCAGTATTTCAGTTATACCGACAGCGTTTGTTTGATTGTTCTTTAACGCTGCACTCAGCAATACCCACAGTGTCAGCTTTATGTTGGGGGGAATGAAGTGATGTAGGTTTTAGAAATCTAACAATTTAGTAAAACCCATGGGGACACAAGTATGGTGCTGACAAACCTAGAAACATAATCAAGGCAAACCGAGATTTGAACCCAAGATCATAGGTTCAGCAGGGGCCATATACCTGTATATGGTCTTTGGTTTCAGCAAAGTCTAATGGAGGCAACTCAACACAGAGAATTGCTGTGCCTTACACAACTGGGCCACCCATACTCTCACTGTGAAGTGCTTACAAGCATCAGGGGAGATAACTGTTGGCAATTTCCTAGGTTTATACATTGTTTTTTTTGTTTGTTGTTTAATGCTGCACTCAGCAATATTCCAGCTATACGACGGCGGTCTGAAAATAATCAAGTCTGGACCAGTCAATCCAGTGATTGACATCATGAGCATTGATCCACACAATTGGGATACAATGACATGCATCAACCAATTCAGCGTGCCTGACCAACTGATCTTGTTAGTCGCCTCATACGACAAGAATAGTCGCATTTTACGGCAGGCATGGGTTGCTGAAGACCTATTCTACCCCGGATCTTCACGGGTCAGGTTTATACCTGGTAGATTATGTTACAGAATGGCATGGTTTATGACTGCATTTAACATTGATACAAAGAGGTCTATTTCTTAAACTTTTGTGACATGAAGACATGGTAGAAGTGTGTACAAGGTGCCACACATCTGATACGGCAGAGTCTATACAAACCTGAGGGATGGGGTGTGTGACCAAGCGACACTGTGACCGGGCTGTTGGGGGGACTGTGAGGAGGGCTGCCTGTCTCGCTGGTTTTACAGCTCGGACCTAAACAGGCAAAATAATTATTGTAAGAGTATGCTTCCTATTCAACAAAATTAACAAGTATAAATTTGTATTGCTGTTTTATGCCACAGTCAGCAATAATCAAGGGCAGATAACTCAAGGATTTGCCAGACAAACCAGCGGCTGATATTATGAGCAACAGTATTACAGTGATGACACATATTTTCAACTTACCTTGATCTAGAGGTGTTGGGACCCGAATGAAGGCACTTGGGTGAGTAAAGTCTTTCTGAAACCCATTACATGGCGAGAGGGCATCAAGCTGACTGTGGACGGAGGTTGATACAGGATTCACCATCAGCAGGGGGTTGTATATACCTGATAACAAACACACAAACTGAATCAGTGTTCACCATCTGCAGGGGGTTGTATATACCTGATAACAAACACACAAACACTGAATCAGTGTTCACCATCTGCAGGGGGTTGTATATACCTGATAACAAACACACAAACAGTGAATCAGTGTTCACCATCTGCAGGGGGTTGTATATGCCTAATAACCAACACAGTTCACCATCTGCAGGGGGTTGTATATACCTTATAACAAACACACAAACAGTGAATCAGCGTTCTTGCAGGGTGTCAATCAGTTTTCAGCAATTTAGTCAGTTTACTTGAATAAATGACAATGTGCTATTTACAGGTCAGAATGATACCAGTTTGCAGATTTTCACAAAATGTGTATAACCTGCAAAAAAATATATTTCATTAAATGTCCAGATTAAGTATGGCTGACAATTCTGAAATCTTTTCTTTCTTTCCCTTTTACTTTCCTGACAGGAGAGGCACTTTCTGTCAGAGGGAGTTAATTATCTCCCACAGCATTCTGTGCAATATCAAGGGGATCTACATCTGAAAAATCAGTTACCTGGTGCATTATTGAGATAACATTCCCCACTAACCAATACAGTCTGAACATTTTGCCAAAGTTAGCCTTTACAGAGGCATTTGAACCCTTATCTTACAAGAGTCCATCATTTGATCCAACAAGCTACAAAGACTAGATACAACTGTACAGGAATGTTTGTCATGTCAAACTATATTGATTCTTATTATTGGATATGTTTGGTTCTTAGGAATGGAAAATTCATTCCTACGTTGAGTAAGACAGTTGGTACCGTGTCTGAACACAATATGGTAGATTGAAACACACAGTAGGTGACTCAAGCTTTTCAACAAAAGCCCTTCCATCTGTAGACAGGGCACTAGTTCATACATGATGCAGTTTCTTTTTCTTGTCACTTCAAAAAACTCCCAAACAACTGATGTGCTGTGATGTAAAACTCTGTCGAGTCACGCACGCAGTCTCGGATCAATGTATCAATTAGATCATGGTGTACTAAGCTGCTTCTTGCGACACTCTCATGACAACTACTGGGTTTTATCTAATGATTGTTTTGCCATGAGCATTTATCATTTCTACATTTCCACCAACAGCAAGTGGCTCCACAAGTCCCCACCCCCCTCTCCACCAACAGCAAGTGGCTCCATGAGGCCCCACCCCATCCTCACCTACTCCACAGACAAGTGGCTCCATAGGGCCACACCCCATCCTCACCTACTCCACAGACAACAAGTGGCTCCACCAGTCCCCACCCCACCCTCCTGGACTTACACAAGCCAGCAATGTTACACACTCTCTTGTCTATTAAGTGTTGCAGGTCAAACAGTCATCAGTTAAGGCTTTCTTCTGCAATTCTCCAGTGCCTGGCTAACAGAGATTACCCGACCTTGTCTGCTATCAGGAATTTCCCCCTCAGTGCTATCTGAAGAATTCTAGTGTTGCAGAGTCCCTTCAGGGGTTCCATTTCCGCACCCATCAACAACAGATTTCTTTAAAAAGAGGAACTGCACATGCAAGGTTCCCAAACACATTTGTAGAATGTATATATGCAATTACGATCTTTCAGAACTGTGTTTACTTCAAAAGGGTTTACCCATCACTGGGAATTTTCCAAAGACCATGTTTTGATGGTTTGTGACTTACAGACTCGATGTGTTAACAATTATGTGATTTCATGACAACTGTTTGAAATGTTACGGCTTATCCTTGGATCAACTTATCTGGTATGATACCTATTTTTCATGATTTTTACCTTCATGTGAATATTTGTTAACATACTTTGGACTATTACCAGCAATTTGTGAAAATATATGCCAATATATTTTTGCCAATCATCCCACTTCCTTCACAAACTGTATTACACAAACTGGATGTTGAGTATAATAAGGTAGATCCACTGATCTGTTCATCAAAACACTGTCAAGAAGCATGAGGAGGGGATGTTGACACCTAGTGATTAAGTAAGGTGGCAGTGACATGGGCTGGGTGGGGATTGTGCTGGGGGTGGCGACACCCAGTGTCTGGGTGTGGCTGTGGTTGGGGATGGCGAGACCTAGTGGCTGGGTGTTTCTGTGGTGGAACTGGCAACACCCAGTGTCTGGGTGTGTCTGTGGTGGGGGTGGTCAGACCCAGTGTCTGGGTGTGTCTGTGGTGGGGGTGGTCAGACCCAGTGTCTGGGTGTGTCTGTGGTTTGGGGTGGTCAGACCCAGTGTCTGGGTGTGTCTGTGGTGGAGCTGGCGACACCCAGTGTCTGGGTGTGTCTGTGGTGGGGGTGGTCAGACCAAGTGGCTGGGTGTGTCTGTGGTGGAGCTGGCGACACCCAGTGTCTGGGTGTGTCTGTGGTGGGGGTGGTCAGACCCAGTGTCTGGGTGTGTCTGTGGTGGGGGTGGTCAGACCCAGTGTCTGGGTGTGTCTGTGGTGGGGGTGGTCAGACCCAGTGTCTGGGTGTGTCTGTGGTGGAGCTGGCGACACCCAGTGTCTGGGTGTGTCTGTGGTGGGGGTGGTCAGACCAAGTGGCTGGGTGTGTCTGTGGTGGAGCTTGCGACACCCAGTGTCTGGGTGTGTCTGTGGTGGGGGTGGTCAGACCCAGTGTCTGGGAGTGTCTGTGGTGGCTGTGGTCAGACCCAGTGGCTGGATGGGGCTGTGCTGGGTGTGGCTGGGTGTGGCTGTGGTTTGGGGTGGCATGTCCCAGGAGTTTGGTGGTTCTGTGGTTTGGGGTGACAAGACTCAGTGGCTGGGTGGGGCTTTGGTTGGGGGTGGCGACACCCAGTGGCTGGGTGGGGCTTTGGTTGGGGGTGGCGACACCCAGTGTCTGGGTGTGGATGTGGTTGGGGGTGGCGAGACCCAGTGGCTGGGTGTGTCAGTGGTGGGTGTGGCGGCACCCAGGGTCTGGGTGTGGCTGTGGTTGGGGTTGCAAGACCTAGTGGCTGGCTGTGTCTGTGGTTGGGGTGACGACACCCAGTGTCTGGGTGTGTCTGTGCTGGGGGTGGTCAGACCCAGTGGCTGGCTGTGTCTGTGGTGGAGGTGACGAGACCTAGTGTCTGGGTGTGTCTGTGGTAGGGGTGGCGACACCCAGTGTCTGGGTGTGTCTGTGCTTGGGGTGGTCAGACCCAGTGTCTGGGTGTGTCTGTGGTAGGGGTGGCGGTACCCAGTGTCTGGGAGTGTCTGTGGTGGGGGTGGTCAGACCCAGTGGCTGGGTAGGGCTGTGCTGGGGGTGGCAACACCCAGTGGCTGGCTGTGGCTGTGGTGAGGGTGGTCAGACCCAGTGGCTGGGTGGGGCAGTGCTGGGGGTGGCAACACCCAGTGGCTGGGTGTGGCTGTGGTTTGAGGTGGCATGTCCTAGTAGATGGGTGGATCTGTGGTTTGGGGAGACAAGACCCAGTGGCTTGGTGGGGCTTTGGTTAGGGATGGTGAGACCTAGTGGCCGAGTGGGTTAGTGGTGGGCGTGGCAAGACCCAGTGACTGGGTGGATCTGCACATTCGTGGGGGGAGGGGGGTAGAAATGACATGTGACATTACCTGGAGGTGGCGACACCCAGTGGCTGGGGCTGGACGGAGAATGGCAGTTGACTGGGCTGCCTAGGGACGGACTATGATGGCCATTTAACATCAGTAGAGAGTTGGCGGTGCTTGTCGTGTTCACATTCAACATATTATGACCTAGGAAACCTGAAATAGAGAAAAACATGGCTCAGGAGGAATGAAATGGACAGTCTTCTACAAATAAGGGCAGTGAATGTCATCAGTCACTTGAATAAAAGTCTGCAAGCAGATGGAAATCATAACCTCAGCCACATCAGGTTGTCCTGAAAGTTGTTCAGACAAGCCAGTGAGTAACAGTGTCAACCAATGCTTGGACTGAGAATTGTGCAATATGTAGTCATTTATTCCAGTGCTCTTGGCAGCCATTATAGAAACCTGCTTCCCATCATACTTTCCCACCACATGGCATTGGCAGATTAGATCTGAAGTATCCAATGATTGCGAAATAAAAGAGTATCAGGTGTGACATACCTGGATGATATAAGGGAAACGCTATTTTTCAGGGTATTATCATTCGCAGAAGACTGAGGTCTTCCATTAACTGTTGAAAAGACCGAAACATTTACTGCAATCAACACACATCGAATGTCACTGACCCACTTTCACAAATATGGAAACAACATAGAACAAACGTCAAAAGCTGCACTCTCTATGACATCACCAAACAACGAGCATGATAGTGGCCCGTCATCAAGCAATATGAGGGCATTATCAACTTAAATAGTGGTAAAGGGTGGTAGGATTGCTTTGTGGAACAGGCCGTGGGCACCGTTCAACAAAGTGATCGTAGCGCTACGACTGATAAGTCTATGTCAAAATATGGGAGTTCCGATCGTCTTAGCGCTAAGATCGTTTTCTGGGTACAGATCTGTATCAGGCAGCCTAGTGGTTGATGGTGTGAAGGAACAGTGACTCCCTACCAAGTTACAGCAGAGTTGTCTTCCCTAACTGTCCCTCATCCACACACTGCCACACTCAGTGCCCATGTTGACCACCTGTTCCCCAGGTTAGATGGACCTGGGCCCACTTGCACAAAGCGATCTGAGCGCTATGACTATTGTAAGCCTATGTTATAGTATGGGAGTTACGATCATCTTAGCGCTAAGATCGCTTTGTGCAAGTGGGCCCGGTAGTCCATGGAATCGTTTCTTACATAACATATTTCTCTCCTCTCAAAAAACAATTTCTGATTCTAATAATAATAATGAATGTGCTTGCTTTTTTATCATCCAGAGTTGGTTCCATACGAACACTAACGGTACAGGGCTACTCCTGGGTCTGTGTCACAGCAATAGAAAGGAGCCAAGATTCGCAGTCACGGTGTGGACAGTAAGAAGCAATTCACCAGACAAGAGCAATGCAATAGCCTGTCATGATTGCAGACAATGGAACTTATTTTTGACAGCCATGATGAAGGAGGCCCAGGGAACTCACAAAAGGGAATATGTTAGTTCCAAGGAACGTATGTTAGGACAAGCTTTCAGGACCCCGTTCCACAAAGCGATCTTAGCATTTAGATGATCGTGACTCCAATACTTTTACATAGATTCATAATAGTCGTAGCGCTAAGATGATCGTAACCCACTTAAGAATAGACCTTCACTTTGTGTGAGCTCATTGGAGTATGAACCTTCATAGAGTGAGGGCCAAACTGTATGAACATCGGAGCTTGCATTCTATACACAATTTTATTTAGTACCTGTGACTTCATGTTTACACTGACAGTCATACAACAACCAGCTATATCGCAGAATAAAATAGTTTCTCAAAAAGAGAGGTGACATGAGCGTATGGATGCACAACTTGCACTTCAGAAACATGTTACGCAACACATGTATTCAAATAATATCAGAAAGGCCTGTTAAGAACTACCTCAGTAAGTCAGTCACAATGACAGCGCGTCGTAATACATTTACATCAAGCACAAGACGTCAAAATGGCCGACACAGGATTTTGGGAGTTGCTAATGAACCCATGGCAGTTACATGTTTTAGTCATCATTGATCAATTGGCCGATCTTTGAAAGGTGATTAAAGATGTGTTAAATAGACGCTAGGGAAAACTCATAGATTGCTGTAGACAGTCACTGCCAGCCTAGACACGGATCGAGTCGATACTACCATAGTTTGGATGTGCATTTTTTCGTTTCTTCACTAGTATCATGGGATAACATTTATACTAAGTTATCTTATAATAATTAGATCTACATCAAGTGCTTTTATGAGTTATCGTGGTGTAATATTTATACATCATTTCATATAATTATAGTTGACCAAGTAATAAATATCATTAGGTAAAATGCATATATAAAATATCAGTAGTTTCAGTTAAAGCTGTTTTAGATGGTTGCTAGCCTAAGGTAATGGGAGCGCGTCTTCTAGACATACTATTCAATAAGACAAGAGTTACGTCTACATAGTTTAATTGATTTGAAGCTTTTAGATAAATGCTAGCCTAAGGTATCAAGATCCCATCTCCCAGACAAAGGATATTTATTTAAGTATATCTGTCATCACCTACCGGGGTATATTAGAATAACATTACTTCAATTAAGACTCATTAAGGATTAGCCCCCATACAAGCTCGTCTATAGTGCATTAAGGATTAGCCCCCATACAAGCTCGTCTATAGGGCATTAAGGATTAGACCCCACACAAGCTCATCTATAGTGACACCCTAATCTCTTTCAAAGCATCCAGTAAATATGTCAACAAGATTAGTGCCAGTCCAACAGGATAAACAGGATTTAGTATTCCCCTCTGTCTAGCCATCCATTTAGCTTAGGACACAACCAAGCGTGTATCATCCAATCACATTCCTTTCTATTGTTTAATTTTTTGTTAAATACATACTGTAGGCAGGTTTTAAGCAGAGAAGGGGTTTGACTCTCTTACCAAGCAGACCTCTCTCCCACAGCCCAGAGTGTGTACCGACTCTCTGTGGCACCCTCAGTTATTATCTAAGTATATTGTAAATTGTTAATTGTTCTTGTAAATAAAATTGTGATTAGTCTCCTGTGACTCTGGCTCTTTGCTGACTAATTCCCCAAGAAAACCAGCACGTCATTTGGAAGGTATTGTTCACCCAGAACAGTTCCATGATAATTTGGCGGAGAATCATCGTTTTCGGAACCACAGAGTCCAGGGACTAACTACGACCAGCTACAAGAACCCATTGGAGGACATGTCCAACTGTGATCATCTGATGGAATAACAAGCAAGCTGCATCAACCTCTGACCTCAACACTGGATTAAAGACAACCAACTCCTCCAAAGACACCAACAAAGGAAGAAAAAGTCTTCAAATATTGTAAGTAATACATTGTTGATTTCTTGTCATCCTTTAATTTAGTACGGTACATACTAATAGGTGTCATGGCAAATATGGAGTCTGGTATGGAAAGTAACTTTGAAAGTGAAATTCCAACAGTGTCTTTAGTTACGCCCCTTGCCAAAAGTGTAATTCAGGCAAAATTTGGCACAACAACAACAAATTGTTTAGTAGACACAGGGGCATCCATTTGTTGTATTTCGTCTGCTTTTCTGAGCACAGCTTTTGAAAACCTTACTCTTGGAAACTCACCCTTTCCACAGGTAAAAGGTGTTGGCGGCGAATTGCATAAGGTGTTAGGTTCAGTTGTGTTAGATTTTGTCATTGAGGATCAGGAATTTTCTCAAAGATTCTATGTACTGCCTACACTGCCGAAGGCAGTGATACTAGGTGAGAACTTCCTTGATGACAATGATGCAGTCTTAGATTATAGCTGTCATTCCTTGATACTTAACAACAGCACCCCAGATAGGCAATATATCAATTTCATAGCCAATTCAGTGCATGAGATTAGTGGATTAGCAAAAACAATAGATCAGATTTACATCCCCCCTCAGAGTGAAATTCATTTCAAGGTCAGACTATCAGAGACCAAAGAGGATTCCCTCATCCTCATTGAACCCATTGCTTCCCTCACTGCTCATTCTGAAGTAGCAGGCGGTAGAACTCTTTCTAAATCAAAAAGCAAGACTGCTACATTTAGGCTTATGAATCCCTCCCAAGAAGAAAAGGTTCTTGACAAGGGTACAGTTGTAGGCAAATTTAGTTACATTGACAAAGACTCTGTTTATGAAATCGGCTCTGACCAACCATTCATCAGTACTGTTAACACCGACAATGAGAAGAGAGACAATGATACCAGGGATTATGTCAAAATTGCACAAGAGTTAGGATTTGATTTGACCAATACACAACTGACTCCAACCCAACGACACAGACTACTTAGATTTTTGGGACAAAATAGAAACATGTTTTCAACAAGTCTTGCAGATTTAGGTAAGACTGACCTGCACCAGCATATCATTGACACTGGCAGCCACCCACCCGTTAAGAGTAGACCATATCGTCAATCTCCTCATCTCCAAAAAGTCACTGAAGAACTTATAGATGATTTTCTGAAGTATGATTTGATCGAGGAATCTACTTCTATGTATTCAGCTCCCATTATCCTAGTCAAGAAACGTGATGGCTCATATAGATTTGTTTGTGACTACAGAAAGTTGAATTCTGTCACTTTACCAATGTCTTGGCCTCTTCCTGTTTTTGATGATGTTGTTGATAACATCGCCAATGCACATGCTAAGATCTTCTCAACTTTAGACCTTGCTAATGGCTTCTTCCAAGTGCCATTACATGAAGATTCAAAGCATAAAACTGCTTTCGTCACCCATCAAGGCCTTTATCAATTCAAACGATTGCCCCAAGGTTTGACAAATTCCCCACTTTGTTTTCAACAGCTCATGAGCAAAGTGCTACGAAAATTGCTTTTTAAGGTTGCGCTGATCTACATTGATGATTTGATAATTTACAGCAAAAACTTTGAAGAGCATCTTCAACATTTGGAGCAAGTATTTTACTATCTGAAACAGGCAAAATTAACACTAAAGCCATCCAAATGCAATTTTGCAACGGACAAAGTATCTTTTCTGGGTCATGTTTTATCATGTGGAGGTGTTCAAGTTGATGACAAAAAGATTGAAGCAATTAGAACCTTTCCAGTGCCCAAGTCACAAAAGCAGATTCGCTCCTTCTTAGGTCTCACGAACTTCTACAGGAAGTATGTGAAAAATTACGCT